TTTCCGAACCGGCGACTTGTGGATCACAAGCCCAACGTGCACCAACCACCAGGCTACGGACGCATTCCCAGTGCGTAAGCTTGTGCATATATATTTATACGTTCGCGTAATTGTATTCTTGGTTCTTTCGGTAAAGTCACGTAGAAGGGAAATAATAAAATCATATAAATATAAAACTATTAAAATTCTCACGACGTTTCGACTGCAACACAAGCAATCATCATCAGCTGATGATCATCATCACCTGTTTTTATATTTGTATGATTTTATTTCCCTTCTACGTGACTTTACCGAAAGAACCAAGAATATGAATCCCTGCAGTCACGAAAGCTTTGAATCAAAAGTTCACGTAATTGTTTTTAACGAGTTTCAGTGTTTCCATACGCAAGTGAACGTTGGGCGGTGCTTACTTTCCATCGGAGGTCCTGAGCCAGCGGTGTTAGGTCATTCCTCATTCCTATGGCGGGGACGAGTCTATCCACAGGACGACCGCGATGCAATATACGCAGAACGTCTCCGTATATTTTCACGACGACGTGGGGAAAAAAGGCAGCAGAGTTTGGTGGCGGCACCGAAGAAAGCGAGAATTAAGAGTGGGGGTAGCACGGTTTTTAGGGGTAAAATTCACGTAAAAAAAGTGAGGGATGCATTAAACCCGCGGCTTCATCTCGTCGCGTACACCCACCCCCCACCACCCCCTTCATGTAAACATTCAAAACACGAAAGTACGGCACTCTCAGCGTGAATGGACACGTGGCATCACGTGAAGGCGCTCATCTTAGTTTCACTTCCTCGGCAACTTTAACCTCTTCTTGGTTCTGTCGGTAAGTCACGTAGAAGGGAAATAATAAAATATAAAACATAATAAAATAATTCTCACGACGTTTCGGCCAGAATAATTTTATTATGTTTTCTTTTTATTATTTTATTATTTCTCTTCTACGTGACTTTACCGAAAGAACCAAGAAGATGAATCCCTGCAGTCACGAAAGCTTTAAATCGAAACTTTAACCTCACCGTCTATTTTTCCTCCTCCCCCCCTCATATAAAACGAACGTCTCTCCTCCACGAGCTGCCCAACATTGCCATTCTTGTTCTTTCTAGATTTGAAGCTTTCGTGACTGCAAGGATTCATACTCTTAGGTTTTTTCGGTAAAGTCACGTAGGTAAAAAAATAATAAAAATTCATAAAAGTAAAATACAAATAAAATAAATATCACGACGTTTCGGAACCGTCACAGCACGATTGCTGTATCAAGTAAAGATAAATTCTAGTATATATACAAGGTCGGGTCTCTTAGAATTTCTCTTTACTTGATACAGCAATCGTGCTGTGACGGTTCCACCTGAAGACGGAAGCTTGTGTTGCCTCCAAAACGTCGTAATTTTTATTTTATTTTACTTTTATTAATTTAAATTTTTTACCTACGTGACTTTACCGAAAAAACCTAAGAGTATGAGTTCTTGTTCTTGTTGCTGGGGTTGCGCCGCCGCTCACCGTTCGTTGGGGCGCGACGTTCGACGGTCTCGCCCCGTGCCGCCGGGAACTTCTTAAGGACAGCGACGCCGGAGAAGCTCCCGGCAACGCGGGGTGGCCGAAACGTCGGACGTCGCGCGGAACGACGCGCGGCACGAACCCCGACCAGCGCGCGCTGGCAAATGCCCGCGCCGTGGCGAACACGCCGGCTGCAGCGAACACGCCGGCTGTTCCGTTCCAGAGCGGTGTTTCGCAAATTTTGCTGGCCCGTGGACCGCTGAGCCGATGTGAACATTTCCACGGACCAACCAGCCCAGCCCCCCCCCCCACCACCCCTAGTAATAAAACGCCTTCACTTCTCTCGAAATTCCAGAAATATATTTAAAAAATCGAATTACCGGAGCATTTTTTTTTTACGAAGCCGTAAGGTTTTTTTTTTTGGGGGGGGGGGGGCATTTAGATCTCAGAGTTGGGGTAGTTTACCTGACATACATTTTAAATAAAATATTACGAGTCAAAAATATAAATGTCTGGAATAAAAGCTATAAACGCTGTCGTTATTGATCAGGCCAACCTGAATATGCATCACAGCCACGCGGGCCGCCCGGAGCATCGTCATGGACCGGCGGCGCTAGCGGGGACCTCACGCTGACAACCGCTGCTGAGAACCGCCACTCTAGAGCAGCGGTTCCCAACCAGTGGGCCGCAGACTCCTGGTGCCTCGCGAGGCTGTTACATGGAGGGGGGTAGGAGGTCTGCGTAAAAGAAAAATAATCACAACCCTCACCAATAAAATGTACAATTTCAAATAACTAGTCGTAGCATGTGGTAGTGGTGGTGGTCCGCGAAATGTTTGTGGTTCGAGAAAGATGTCCGCACGCTCGAGGCTGCGGTGGGGTGTGCACGCCGCATCGGTCCGCACCGCGTCGCGCGATACTTTGTTGTGTTCTGTGCTTCGGCGGGGACTTTTTGTTCAAATCTATTCTGCAACAGACTTACAGGAACAAATGAATACTTTCGGTTTCCCACGACCAAGTGCAAAAGGGTCATTCCTCCAACAGCGCTCAGCGTTTCCGCTGACAAGGGGGGGGTTATGGGGGGTAAAAGGGGGGATTTTTTTCCGCAGGCTTCGCGCGAAAGAGGGCCCCACGGTGAGCTTGCGGATTGTGGAATTAGGGCCGCCCCACGTGGCATCCTGCCCCGGGCCCCCAGGAACCTGTGGGGGGGGCGGCCATGGTCACGGTCCTGCGATGTTCCACGCTCCTGGCGTGGACGGTGCGCGCGTGTCAGATGCTGAACGTCAAACATCAAAGGTCAGGGGTTTCAGGGCAGTGAAGACAGAGGCAGAATGAGCTGTCAGAGAGCAGCAAGGGGCAGCAATTTTCAGCGGCCAGGCACGAATGCACGCACACAGGCTCACGGCGCTCAGGCTCACGCACGCGCGCACGGGAGGGGTAGCGGAACTTGGCCCTGAAGCCCTCAACATCGTGGGGGCTTCTCCCTGCGTTGGCTGTCACAGCGCGACAGGCAAATCACTCGGCCGCTTCACTGCCACGTGGTCGTCGAGTTCAACCCCCGATCTGCGTTCCGCCTTCCGGCTCCCACCATGGGGGAAGGGCCAGGCACCCTCCTCGCGATCGTCGTTGTCGTCACCGCCATCGTTGGCCACCATCGATCCCCCGCTGAAGGTTCCTCGCAAGCCCCACCCCCGCCACCACCACCGCCACCACCTCTCACGATCTCGCGGCGTTGCAATCCACCTAGCGACTGGACACGGGAGGATTTCACCGCTCCGTCTCCGCGTTGGATGCGCTCTCGGGCGCGTGCGTGCGCACTCCTTCGGCTGCCACCCCTGCCGTTGGTCTCCACCGCCGGCCGTCGTCTTCCCCGTCCAGCGGCGCGTCCTGCCCAAGCCGCGCCAACTTTACTGAACAGTCGATGTTGCAGCGTTTTGCTGTGTGTTACGTTCTTCTAATCCGAGTGCTCCTCTTCCTGTCATCCCAGCCCGAGTCGACACGTGCATCCCTCCACGCTTCCTTGTGCACTCTCAAGCTTCACAGCAATCGCAGGAACAAGAAGAAGAATTTGCCATTCACCCAGGGAAGCCTCGCCGAGTCTCAAGACCCATTCAGAGGAGGGTCTGGCTCTTTGCTGATGCTGAGATAAAAATAAAGAAATTAATCGGTAGATATGTACAGCTTTGTTTTTTTGCTGCACGTGGGCAGAAACCAGAGTTCCCGGAAAAAAAACCCCCACACACGCAACGAGGTGAACCACTCAAACTCCTGCGATTCGAAGAAGTTGACAACCTTCTTGCTGTACTGTCCCCCCCCAACCCCCCCCCCCCCCCATCCCACCGTCACGTTGTCCCTGAGCCACCAGAGGAGTCAGCCGCACGTCCCACGACGCGTTCCATTTCCCAGACGGAGCCTTCAGCCCTCGCTCGTCGTATGCGATGCCGGGGACTTACATTTCTCGCTGGATGTCTTTCAGGTCGATGGTATACTGGATGCAGTGTGCTGAGTGTTGAAATATTTCATGGCTCGCTGGTAGAATGCAGAAGAGTAGCCCCAGCCAGAGCAAGAGGGATACTGGACGTGGCATGCTGGGTCGCTGAGCCGGACAGGCCTGGTTGAGACGCCACGGAAAGTGCCTCTCATCAGCGTCGCGTGCAAAGATCCCGTTAATGCTCAGCACTACGATCCAATCAGCGTCGCCCACTACGATCCAATCAGCGTCGCCCGTTATGATCCAATCAGCGTTGCTCGTTATGATCCAATCAGCGTCACTCGCTACGATCCAATCAGCGTCGCCCGTTATGATCCAATCAGCGTTGCTCGCTATGATCCAATCAGCGTCGCTCGCTACGATCCAATCAGCGTCGCCCGTTATGATCCAATCAGCGTCGCTCGCTATGATCCAATCAGCGTCGCCCGTTATGATCCAATCAGCGTCGCTCGCTACGATCCAATCAGCGTCGCCCGTTATGATCCAATCAGCGTCGCCCGTTATGATCCAATCAGCGTCGCTCGCTATGATCCAATCAGCGTCGCTCGCTACGATCCAATCAGCGTCGCTCGTTACGATCCAATCAGCGTCGCTCGTTACGATCCAATCAGCGTCGCTCGCTACGATCCAATCAGCGTCGCTCGTTACGATCCAATCAGCGTCGCTCGCTACGATCCAATCAGCGTCGCCCGTTATGATCCAATCAGTGTCGCCCGTTACGATCCAATCAGCATCGCCCGTTACGATCCAATCAGCGTCGCCCGCTACGATCCAATCAGCGTCGCCCGCTACGATACAATCAGCCTCGCCTGCTACGATCCAATCAGCATCGCCCAGTGCGATCCAATCAGCGTCGCTCGACACAGCCATCGCTAATGGGCGCTCGCTACGATTCTACCCAACGTCCTCCGGCCCGTGACCTCATTGACGTCGCGTGTCCTTACGAACGGGCAGCAGAGTTGGGGGGGAAGGGTGGGAGGGGGACGACATCACAACGCCGGCGCCCGCCCGCCCACCCGCCCGCGTGGTGCCGCTACGACGCGGCGCTGTCGGAGCCCGGGGACTGGAGGAACTCGCGCAGCTCCCGGTCGATCTCGTCGTCTTCCACCTCGTTGGCGCTCAGCTGCGACGGCGACCCTGCCGGGCAGACGCGGGGGTCGCACCGTCACGGGGTTTTTTAATTGTACGTATCGGCTTCTTATTTTATGACCGCGATGTTCGTCTTTTGGTCTTCCTCACCAATTGCATTCAACGTTGTCCCGATCGTGGCAATCGCGCCGTGAAAATACGAGGAGAACAGCGCAATTGCGAGAAAAGTTGAAACGATTACGAGGCGTGGGAAACCACAGACAAGCGGAAGGCGGCCAGAACCGGGGCTAACAATTGCCCAAGCTTTGCGGTCCTATATTATGTGGGTGGAAACCCGAGTACACGGAGGACACCCAAGTGCGCGAGGGAGTGGGGGGGTAACCGCCAACCCCCGCACAGGTGGAGTACACTTTGGTTCTTTGAATAAAGTCACGTACAAAGAAATAATAAATTAAATAATAGCACACGACGTTTCGATTGCAACACAAGCAATCATCATCAGGTACAAATGAAAGAGAAAACAAACCTAGTAAAATATAATGCGATACAACACAGAGATGATTGCTTGTGTTGCAATCGAAACGTTGTGTGCTATTATTTAATTGATTTCTCTTCCCACGTGACTTTACCCAAAGAACCAAAGAGTCATTCCTGCAGTCACGAAAGCTCCCAATCAAGCTGGAGTGCAATCCGCTTGCTGTGCTGCCGTATCGCAGCAGGCCAGGAGGTGGCAACCACAGGAGGTGGCAACCACGATACTCCGTGGGAGGCGAGGGTTGGTGATCCCTCTCCACCCTTGGCTTATGGCCAGGGCACGGCACGTTGATCAATACGTTTATCTGTACGGGAATTTAGTGTTACACCCCTCACACTCATACCCATCCACCCACCCACCCATACCCACCCACCCACCCATACCCACCCACCCATACCCACCCACCCAGCCATACATACTCACCCATACCCATAGCCACCCACCCACACCCATACCCACGCACCCATACCCACCCACACCCATACCCACCCATCCACCCGAACTCAGAGGTCAGGGGTTTCAAGGCAGTGGAGCAGGCAGAATGAGCTGTCAGAGAGCAGCAAGGGGCAGAGATTCAGCGGCCGGGCACGAATGCTCACGCACTCAGACTCACGCACTCAGACTCACGCACTCAGGCTCACGCACTCAGACTCACGCACTCAGGCTCACGCACTCGGGCTCACGCGCTCAGGCTCACGCACTCGGGCTCACGCACTCAGGCTCACGCACTCAGGCTCACGCACTCAGGCTCACGCGCTCAGGCTCACGCGCTCAGGCTCACGCGCTCAGACTCAAGCACTCAGGCTCACGCACTCAGGCTCACGCACTCAGACTCACGCACTCAGGCTCACGCACTCAGGCTCACGCACTCAGGCTCACGCACTCAGACTCACGCACTCAGGCTCACGCACTCAGGCTCACGCACTCAGACTCACGCACTCAGACTCACGCACTCAGACTCACGCACTCAGACTCACGCACTCAGGCTCACGCACTCAGGCTCACGCACTCAGACTCACGCACTCAGGCTCACGCACTCAGACTCACGCACTCAGACTCACGCACTCAGACTCACGCACTCAGGCTCACGCACTCAGGCTCACGCACTCAGACTCACGCACTCAGACTCACGCACTCAGGCTCACGCACTCAGACTCACGCACTCAGACTCACGCACTCAGGCTCACGCACTCAGGCTCACGCACTCAGGCTCACGCACTCAGGCTCACGCACTCAGGCTCACGCACTCAGGCTCACGCACTCAGACTCACGCACTCAGGCTCACGCACTCAGGCTCACGCACTCAGACTCACGCACTCAGGCTCACGCACTCAGGCTCACGCACTCAGACTCACGCACTCAGACTCACGCACTCAGGCTCACGCACTCAGGCTCACGCACTCAGACTCACGCACTCAGGCTCACGCACTCAGACTCACGCACTCAGACTCACGCACTCAGACTCACGCACTCAGGCTCACGCACTCAGGCTCACGCACTCAGACTCACGCACTCAGACTCACGCACTCAGGCTCACGCACTCAGACTCACGCACTCAGACTCACGCACTCAGGCTCACGCACTCAGACTCACGCACTCAGGCTCACGCACTCAGGCTCACGCACTCAGGCTCACGCACTCAGGCTCAAGCACTCAGGCTCACGCACTCAGACTCACGCACTCAGACTCACGCACTCAGGCTCACGCACTCAGACTCACGCACTCAGGCTCACGCACTCAGGCTCACGCACTCAGACTCACGCACTCAGACTCACGCACTCAGGCTCACGCACTCAGACTCACGCACTCAGGCTCACGCACTCAGGCTCACGCACTCAGGCTCACGCACGCAGGCTCACGCACGCAGGCTCACGCACTCAGGCTCACGCACGCAGGCTCACGCACGCAGGCTCACGCACTCAGACTCACGCACGCAGGTTCACGCACTCAGGCTCACGCACTCAGACTCAAGCACTCAGGCTCAAGCACTCAGTCTCACGCACTCAGGCTCACGCACTCAGACTCACGCACTCAGGCTCACGCACTCAGGCTCACGCACTCAGGCTCACGCACTCAGACTCACGCACTCAGGGTCACGCACTCAGGCTCACGCACTCAGGTTCACGCACTCAGGCTCACGCACTCAGACTCACGCACTCAGGTTCACGCACTCAGGCTCACGCACTCAGACTCACGCACGCAGGTTCACGCACTCAGGCTCACGCACTCAGACTCAAGCACTCAGGCTCACGCACTCAGTCTCACGCACTCAGACTCACGCACTCAGGCTCACGCACTCAGACTCACGCACGCAGGCTCACGCACGCAGACTCACGCACTCAGACTCACGCACTCAGGCTCACGCACTCAGACTCACGCACTCAGGTTCACGCACTCAGGCTCACGCACTCAGACTCACGCACGCAGGCTCACGCACTCAGACTCACGCACTCGGACTCACGCACTCGGACTCACGCACTCGGACTCACGCACTCGGACTCACGCACTCAGACTCACGCACTCAGACTCACGCACTCAGACTCACGCACTCAGACTCACGCACTCAGACTCACGCACGCAGACTCACGCACTCAGGCTCACGCACTCAGACTCACGCACTCAGGTTCACGCACTCAGGCTCACGCACTCAGACTCACGCACTCAGACTCACGCACTCAGGTTCACGCACTCAGGCTCACGCACTCAGGCTCACGCACTCAGACTCACGCACGCAGACTCACGCACTCAGGCTCACGCACTCAGGCTCACGCACTCAGGCTCACGCACTCAGACTCACGCACTCAGACTCACGCACTCAGACTCACGCACGCAGACTCACGCACTCAGGCTCACGCACTCAGACTCACGCACTCAGGTTCACGCACTCAGGCTCACGCACTCGGACTCACGCACTCGGACTCACGCACTCAGGCTCACGCACTCAGACTCACGCACTCAGACTCACGCACTCAGGCTCACGCACTCAGGCTCACGCACTCAGACTCACGCACTCAGACTCACGCACTCAGACTCACGCACTCAGACTCACGCACTCAGACTCACGCACTCAGACTCACGCACTCAGACTCACGCACTCAGACTCACGCACTCGGGTTCACGCACTCGGGCTCACGCACTCGGACTCACGCACTCAGACTCACGCACTCAGGCTCACGCACTCAGACTCACGCACTCAGACTCACGCACTCAGGCTCACGCACTCAGACTCACGCACTCAGACTCACGCACTCAGGCTCACGCACTCAGGCTCACGCACTCAGGCTCACGCACTCAGGCTCACGCACTCAGGCTCACGCACTCAGGCTCACGCACTCAGACTCACGCACTCGGACTCACGCACTCGGACTCACGCACTCGGACTCACGTACTTAGACTCACGCACTCAGACTCACGCGCTCAGACTCACGCACTCGGACTCACGCACTCGGACTCACGCACGCAGACTCACGCACTCTGACTCACGCACTCAGACTCACGCACTCTGACTCACGCACTCAGACTCACGCACTCTGACTCACGCACTCAGACTCACGCACTCGGACTCACGCACTCGGACTCACGCACTCAGACTCACGCACTCAGACTCACGTACTTAGACTCACGCACTCTGACTCACGCACTCGGACTCACGCACTCGGACTCACGCACTCAGACTCACGCACTCAGACTCACGTACTCAGACTCACGCACTCAGACTCACGCGCTCAGACTCACGCACGCAGCATCACGCACTCAGGCTCACGCACTCAGACTCACGCACTCAGGCTCACGCACTCAGTCTCACGCACTCAGACTCACGCACTCAGGCTCACGCACTCAGTCTCACGCACTCAGATTCACGCACTCAGGCTCACGCACTCAGGCTCACGCACTCAGGCTCACGCACTCAGGCTCACGCACTCAGGCTCACGCACTCAGGCGCACGCACTCAGACTCACGCACTCAGGCTCACGCACGCAGGCTCACGCACTCAGGCTCACGCACGCAGGCTCACGCACTCAGGCTCACGCACGCAGACTCACGCACTCAGACTCACGCACTCAGACTCACGCACTCAGACTCACGCACTCAGACTCACGCACTCAGACTCACGCACTCAGGCTCACGCACTCAGGCTCACGCACTCAGGCTCACGCACTCAGGCTCACGCACTCAGGCTCACGCACTCAGACTCACGCACTCAGGCTCACGCACTCAGGCTCACGCACTCAGACTCACGCACTCGGGCTCACGCACTCGGACTCACGCACTCAGACTCACGCACTCAGACTCACGCACTCAGACTCACGCACTCGGACTCACGCACTCGGGCTCACGCACTCAGACTCACGCACTCAGACTCACGCACTCGGACTCACGCACTCGGACTCACGCACTCAGACTCACGCACTCAGACTCACGCACTCAGACTCACGCGCTCAGACTCACGCACTCGGACTCACGCACTCGGACTCACGCACTCGGACTCACGCACTCAGACTCACGCACTCAGACTCACGTACTCAGACTCACGCACTCAGACTCACGTACTTAGACTCACGCACTCTGACTCACGCACTCGGACTCACGCACTCGGACTCACGCACTCAGACTCACGCACTCAGACTCACGTGCTCAGACTCACGCGCTCAGACTCACGCGCTCAGACTCACGCACGCAGCATCACGCACTCAGGCTCACGCACTCAGACTCACGCACTCAGGCTCACGCACTCAGTCTCACGCACTCAGACTCACGCACTCAGTCTCACGCACTCAGACTCACGCACTCAGGCTCACGCACTCAGGCTCACGCACTCAGGCTCACGCACTCAGGCTCACGCACTCAGGCTCACGCACTCAGGCGCACGCACTCAGACTCACGCACTCAGGCTCACGCACGCAGGCTCACGCACTCAGGCTCACGCACGCAGGCTCACGCACTCAGGCTCACGCACGCAGACTCACGCAATCAGACTCAGACTCACGCACTCAGACTCACGCACTCAGACTCACGCACTCAGACTCACGCACTCAGACTCACGCACTCAGACTCACGCACTCAGACTCACGCACTCAGGCTCACGCACTCAGACTCACGCACTCAGACTCACGCACTCAGACTCACGCACTCAGGCTCACGCACTCAGACTCACGCACTCAGACTCACGCACTCAGGCTCACGCACGCAGACTCACGCACTCAGACTCACGCACTCAGACTCACGCACTCAGACTCACGCACTCAGACTCACGCACTCAGACTCACGCACTCAGACTCACGCACTCAGACTCACGCACTCAGGCTCACGCACTCAGACTCACGCACTCAGACTCACGCACTCAGACTCACGCACTCAGACTCACGCACTCAGACTCACGCACTCAGACTCACGCACTCAGGCTCACGCACGCAGACTCACGCACGGGAGGGGTAGCGGAACTTGGCCCTGAAGCCCTCAACGTCGTGGGGGCTTCCCCTTGCGTTGGCTGTCACAGCGAATAGGCCGCTTCACTGCCACGTCGTCGTTGCGGTCACTGACATCAATCCATACCCACCCACTCCCAATATACAGCCACCTATACCCACCTATACTCACCCACACCCACCCACACCCACCCCCACCCACCGAGCGAGGGAGTGAGAGGTGGTGGTGGCGGCGGTGGTGGTGGTGGTTGGGGCACGAGCCTCGGGGGTGGCACCTCCTCGGGGCACGGCCGGGCCCCGGTGCCGGCAGCCGACATGGCGACCATCATCTTCGTCATCGTCGTCGTTGTCGTCTTCGCCTTGGGAGCCACGTCGCCCGCGGCCACCGCGGCGGGGGCGGCAACGAGGCCCGCGGCCGGGCCGTCGCCTGGCGGGCGGGCGAGGGGAGGCCACCGCTAACCCGGTCAAATCGAGCGAGCGAAACGCTCGGTGAAATGATTAACGCGACGAATGAAGCGATCGACTGCTTCCGAGAGAAAACGATCGGTAAATAAATAAAGGCAACAACCGGCGAAACAATGAAGAAACATTTCCGCGCGCTCGTGGATTATGCGGCCGCGTTCCAACGTGCGTTTGTCGCTGAATGAGCGATAATGACGTCACGTTTGAAGCTGCACGATGGGATGGCATCACGTGTAACGATGTCACGGCCTTCGGACGCGAAGGTGTTTTGGGGTCGCGTTCTCTCAACGCAGCCGGTTTCCTTTTCGGGGGAGTCCCGAATAGCAACTGACAACTTCACACCAAAATTGGGTTCACATTGGGTCGTATTTCCAAAAGTTATCACGACTCCATGTTGTAGGCAGATATTAGGAATAAAACACTATGTTTAACGAGCACATATTTTAACAATCGGATGGACAGAGATATGGACAAAGATTCCGCATTCTCCAGACACTCTGGGTGGCTTCCCACAGTCATGAATTAAAAAATCTTTAGTTGGCAAAGGAGGGAATTTACACGAGAGGTGCATGCTTGGAAACTACACCAACAGACAGAGAGAGGAACACAATGGTTCGCAGGACGTACGCATCAAACTGACCGCTACTAGACAACATATGAGCCGTTAGAAAAGTAAGCGGACTTGGGCTGGGACACATGGCAAGGAGGGATGATTTGCCAGTGGTGAAGACTGGCGATAGAGTGGCAGCCAAAGAAGGGAGCATTCTCAAGAGCGTGTCCGCCGTGGAGATGGAGCGATACAATCAGCTCGTTCGCAGGTGCTGGGCGGATTGAATGTGATATCGTGCGACTGTGAGAGACGGCGACGGCCTGAAGAGTCCTTCATCCAGCAGTGGATTGATCATGGCCGATGATAAATGTGGTGACAAGGCCTCACCATGGTTGGCCCCAGGCACCTGCGGCTCCTGCAAGATGGCGGACGTTGGCCTGGCCTGTTGGCTCCCTTCAGCCTTCTCCTTGCCTGAAGAAAGAAGTGTCAAAATGCGCGGTGACATAGCGGGGCTCCAACGCACGCAATCGTGAACACGCGGCCGAGCAAACACACACACACACGTCTAACATATCAAAGATTTCCTGTATAGCCTTAACAGACTTTTAGGGCAAGTGCTGTTTGCGAGCACATATGAAGGAAGGCTGCCCTGGCACACGAGGGGGTGGGTGGCCAGCACCACGCCCGACCGCCTTTGTCTCCCCAGTAGCGATGTTTACACACCACACCAGGTACTCATTTGAGGCTGAGTCGACCTAGGGGAGGCCCAGGACCGGTTCAGATAATCGTCACTGGTGTTGGCCGTGAGCGGGAATTGAACCCGGGTCATTGGGTTCATAGCGCAGCGTGCTGACCACTACACTACCGCTCCCCACTACACACACACGCTCACACACATGGATGTGTTAAATGCTCACACGAGAAGTAATTCGAAAATCCGCCAAATAGGACGTTCACCACGGAGATGGAGCAATGAAATCAGCCCGTGTGCAGGCGGGTAGGTGGACCGTTACATGACACACGGCGGCGGCGGCTTGTAGGAGGCCTTCTTCAGGCAGCAGTGGATAGATCATGGCTGACGATGAAGATGACGATGATCGCGAGGAGGGCGGCCGCCCCTCCGCCGCGGTCGGAGCTGGAATGCGGAATTCAAATCTGGGTTGGACCCGACGGTGGCCACGTGGCGGTGGAGTGGCCCAGTGATTTGTCTTTTGCACTGTGATGGCCAACATCCTGAAACCTTCATCCGAAATCTCAACTATTTTATATTTTGCCAAGTAAGGCCCACTGAGCTACATGAACTGGCCATGAATGATAGCTCAACGAAGTGGCTTTACCACTTGGAAATGTACAGCTTATCATCGCGTGGAAATGTATAGCAGCCAAATACTCGAAACACACTTTTCTAAATGCGGAGGGAAAGGCCGGAGGACCCAGAGAAAAATCCACGCGACCACGGGGAGAGAGAGAGACACGCAAACTCCAAATATACAGCAGCAGGCGTCAGGGTTGGGATCAAACCCACGACCTCCTGTATACCAGGCGAGGTAGTTAACATCTCACCACTGTGACATCCGGCCAGCAGTAGATTTATCATGGCTGATTATGGCTGATTATGAAACTAAATTATTACGTTCTGCCACTCTGAAACCTGCCGTGGATGCGATTCCGCTATGTACGTGTGTTGAACTTCTTTCGCGCCGTGTGTAGCCAGCAGTGCTAATCGGAAGCGTGACAGTGCGCGCAACGTCCTCTTACCAAACGGCTCAAGCAGCGACAGTTCAAACGATGCAAAATCAACGGCGCTCGGGTGGCAGACTTTTCTGACGCCCGGGTCGGCCTTTATCTGCACGAAAGTAGTCAGAGCAAATAACCCGGGGTTAGTGCAGCGCCCCGCTCCTGTACCCAAGCCGGCAGGCCCACCATCCGATGAAAGGAAAAAAGGCACAGCCCCGGGCAATTGCTCGCTCGTGCCACCGCTGACGGAAGGGACCCTTGCCCACCACAGCGGAGCTCCACAGATTGTATTTGGTGCTACTCTCCCACGGCGACGCGGTGCATTCTGCCAGCCAGCCGGTGGGCGTAGCCGCACTTGACCCCCACCACACGTGACCTGCCGACTGATTTGACTGTGGTGGTGGTGGTAGTGGCGGTGACCCCATTCGTGCTGCTGCTGCTGGGTGGACAGAGTTCCGTTGCTGGGGGGATTTTAAGAAACTTTGCCCCCCCTGCTTTGTTTTACCCAGCAGGCGCCGGGAGATCGAGTCGAGCCGGGCGACACCTCCGGATCGCAGGTCCAGTAAGCCGACCGTTGCCCCAGGGCAGGTCGGCCGAGTCGATTAACAGGGAGCCTCAACTGACCCCGGGTTAGATTCCCGGCCATGGCTGGCATCAACATCTGAAGCAATCTTCCCCTGGTTTGACGGGGACTCAACTTAGTAGCTGGTGCGGTGTGTAAACATCACCACTGGGGAGACAAAGGCGGCCGGGTGTGGTGACGGCCACCCAACCCCTCGTGTGCTGTGCTGGCCTTCATAGGTGCTGCGTGTGCGTACTGTGTACAGCAGCCTGTGTGGGCCATACGGGGGGGGGGGGGGGGGGAGGGTATGCGTGTTCTTGTCTTTGGTGGTGACAGCGAGCGGTGGCGTCTCACCTGCGTTTCTTCTGCCAGGGCAGCGACGATGACCTGTTCCACTTTCTCCTTCTGCTGCTGCTGCTTCTGTAACGGCAGCGTGGGAATCTGCGGGTGAAGGTGTCACTGGAGTAACCCAGCACGTGATTTTCTCTCGCTCTAGGAGGGAATAAAACCTGTGCTCGTTACAAATTCTAATTTGTTAGGAAATTATTTACATGCCAATGCAGCTTGACATCTCGGCGTTCTGTTGACTGCGCCAGCCAATGGAGCGGCATTAATAGGTGTCTTTATTTGACTTTTTCAACTGTTCAAATTATTTTTGTAACATGTAAACATTTACATTTAAATATTTTCTCAAATTTCTTATCACGATCCCGCCATCCGTGTTATGTCATGGGCCGGGAAAAAAAATCCATCAGCTTTTGTTACAGAGCAGCAAAACCCACGGTGCCAGAGAACAGCCCGCGGAAGTGGACACTGCAGAGCTACCTCTGAAACCCCTTCAAGTGACCTCTCCACTCGGCGAGGGTAACTTTCGTCGCATGACAAGGAATCCGATTTTTTCTTTACTCACGGAGCAGAAACGTAGCCAAACTATGGGAAGAACTTCATTTAATTAAAGTGTTTGTTGTTGTTGCTGCGCAGTAATCGCCTGGACCGAGCCGATACCATCAACTCGTCGCGCTTGAGATCCGATGCCTACGTATTTACATCACGGACGGGTGACTGAAGCCCGGATTCCAACCCCGAGTCTTAGCGGTGCCGCCTCAGCGGCTCCGACCTCTGACCTCACCCAAGTGACCCCTTTCACAGCTGTTTTGACAACCGCAGCCTGCAGCGGTGGTGAGGGAGAGGGTGACCGGTTCGGTTGTCAAACGTTGGCCGGACGTTGCAGCGTTAACCGAGCCGGGTGTCGGGAATTTCCCACGTGTGTGCCGCGGTGACTTCCTGTTGTGAAAAACTTTCAAATGGGCGCTACGTGAGCGTTTTATTCATTAAAGCACCGTTCTTCGTCGCAAGGCCCTGGCGGCCCCTGGTGGCCTTTACTGCGGGCCTCTGATGTGCGGCCCCCAACGATACACAAAATAGAAAACACCCCCCATCATCATCATCATTGTGTTGCCAAACCCCAGCGGTTTCAAATGTGTGGCGGCCCTCACACTGATGATGTCCTTATCGGCGAAAGTGACCCCCCTCCACCCCCGCCTCTGAAAATGGGTGAAGAATACCGACCCAAACAGTGAGCGAACGTGAAACCACAGCCACGTATCGCTCCCTCCCCCTCTGCGGAGAAATCACGCAACCGAGTTTGTTCAGAAATGATCACTGCGGTGTAAAACTTTACTGCACGCGGTGCCTTTTGTTTTGAATTATCTCTTAACCAAAAAAAATTTGCATTCATTTTCGTTCCCATCGTAACCGGCACCGGTGCGTGAGTCGTCAGCTGTGCGTGGCTGCCTTGATGGACGACGCTGGGGGGGGGGGGGGGAGCAGATGAGCGAGGAGGCATCGTCTGCTGTCAAAAATAAGTTCAACAAATATTTTCAACAAATATTTACATATTTGTAAAAACAAATATTTACATATTTGTAAAAAAAAAAGTTAAACAATTATTTACATAGGTGCCTTTTGTTTTAATTATCTCTTAACCAAAAAAATTACATATTTTACATAATTGTTGAACTTTTTTTTTTTACATATTTGTTGAACTTCTTTCGCACCGTGCGTAGCCAACTGTGCTGAGCGGAGATGCAGGGTAAGAGACAACAAATAAAACACACAAACCAGCTCTAAAGAAATCAGTTTTCAATCTAAAAACATGCCGCATGTTTTAAATGGGACGCGCCACCATCATCATCATCATCAGCCATGCTCAATCCACTGCTGGATGAAGGCCTCCCCACGATTCTGCGATGTGGCAAGCCGTCCAGAGCCTGTTAAACTCAGCGAGCTGATTTCAATTGCTCCATCTCCTCCGCCGGACGTCCCTCTCCCCTTCGGCCACATTCCATTCCTTGGCTGCCACTTGACTTTTCGTCACGGTTTGAACTCCGTCCGTGTCAACCTGCGCAAGTTCTCTCACGCATGTGCTGCTCCCCCCCATGCCCCCCCTGCCCCCCTCTGTCCGCCAACGTAACTCCAAACACGAGCGGGCGTCGCGTGCCGTATCGGAACATTCCGAAGGGAACGCTTTGTCAAGGGGGCGGACAAATTGAGAGTGCCACCTTCTCAGTCAACATACCCACAGCTGACAATTAGGCGCGGTTTTACGTTCCGAAACACTGAAGGGCACTTACGCGGTTAATTAGAACGTCCCCGACAGCGAGCGGATGACGAACGACAGCCAATGTGTGCCGTCGCCCCATTAGGTGATGAGGGTTGAACTAAACTGAGGTCATTCTTGCAATTACGTCTAATTCAGATTAACGGGGCGGTGGTGATGCGGGCCGAGTCGGGCGGTCACGGGGTTTGCCACGGTGGCTAGGAGATGTTAACTACCTTGCCTGGTACGCAGGAAGTCGTGGGTTCGATCCTGACCCTGACGCCTGCTGCTGTATATTCGGAGTTTGCGTGTCTCTCTCTCATCATCATCATCACGGTGGCTAGGAGATGTTAACTACCTCGCCTGGTACGCAGGAAGTCGTGGGTTCGATCCTGACCCTGACGCCTGCTGCTGTATCTTCGGAGTTTGCGTGTCTCTCTCTCATCATCATCACGGTGGCTAGGAGATGTTAACTACCCTCGCCTGGTACGCAGGAAGTCGTGGGTTCGATCCTGACCCTGACGCCTGCTGCTGTATATTCGGAGTTTGCGTGTCTCTCTCTCTCTCATCATCATCACGGTGGCTAGGAGATGTTAACTACCTCGCCTGGTACGCAGGAAGTCGTGGGTTCGATCCTGACCCTGACGCCTGCTGTATATTCGGAGTTTGCGTGTCTCTCTCTCATCATCATCACGGTGGCTAGGAGATGTTAACTACCTTGCCTGGTATGCAGGAAGTCGTGGGTTCGATCCTGACCCTGACGCCTGCTGTATATTCGGAGTTTGCGTGTCTCTCCCTCATCATCATCACGCTGGCTAGATGTTAACTACCTTGCCTGGTATGCAGGAAGTCGTGGGTTCGATCCTGACTCTTACGCCTGCTGTATATTCGGAGTTTGCGTGTCTCTCTCTCATCATCATCACGGTGGCTAGGAGATGTTAACTACCTCACCTGGTACGCAGGAAGTCGTGGGTTCGATGCTGACCCTGACGCCTGCTGTATCTTCGGAGTTTGCGTGTCTCTCTCATCATCATCACGGTGGCTAGGAGATGTTAACTACCTTGCCTGGTACGCAGGAAGTCGTGGGTTCGATCCTGACCCTGACGCCTGCTGCTGTATATTCAGAGTTTGCGTGTCTCTTTCTCCCCGTGGTCGCGTGGATTTTTCACGTGGGCCCTCTGGTTTTTCCCTCCACATTTAAAACCAATGTCACTCGTCTCGAGTATTTGGCTGCTATAAATTTCCACGCGATGACAAGCCACTTCGTTCAGCTTTCATTTGTGACGGCCAGTTCGCTTCTGAAATAAGAGCTACATCGCTCACTGGGCCTCACCTGGTAAAATAAAAACACCTTAGTTAACATTATGGGACCTCCTTTGCCAGTATCAAAATATAAGAATAGGTTTTCCCCTCTCTGGCAATAAAACAGTTGTGTTAAGATGTTAAAACACCAAACTGAAACCTTTTGCAAGGAATCATGTCATTACACACACAACACACACACAGTACACACACACAGTACACACACACAGTACACACACGGTACACACATTACACATACACATTACACACAGTACACGCACACAGTACACACACAGTACAAACCGTATGCACACAGTACACGCAGAGCTCACAGAGTACACACACAGTACACACAGCACCCACACAGTACACAGAACGCACACAGTACACCCACACACAGTACACAGTATGCACACGGTACACAAGGTACACACATTACACACACAGCACACACACAGCACACACAGTACGTGCACAGCTCACAGAGTACACACACAGTACACAGAACGCACACAGTACACCCACACACAGTACACAGTATGCACACGGTACACAAGGTACACACATTACACACACAGCACACACACAGCACACACAGTACGCGCACAGCTCACAGAGTACACACACAGTGCACACAGTACGCACACAGTACACCCACACACAGTACACACACAGCACCCAACGCTGTCCCACATCCGAACATGCAGCCGCATGTGGAGTGAATTCAAGGCGCGTAACATGATAGATTTTGCACAGAAATAAGTTAGCCACACACAAACACATATATACAGATAGTCCCCGAGTTACGATGGTCCGACTTACGATATTTCGATCTTACGATGGCGATAGCGATATGACAAAATGGTAAAATAATTTAAATTTCGAGTGGCAGGCAAACGCAGCAGTGTACGAGGTACGATGCTGTATGTTGGGACGCTGCCGGGATGTTCTGTACGCATCTCCCGCCTGGTGCGATGCAGATAGGATTGTTTCCTGAAAAAACTTTCTATTAAATTGCAGTTCATATAGGTCGGCTAAGAATTGACCTTGTTTTTTTCACTTTACATTTTACTGTGCAATACAGTATTGTAATTAATAAATACATACAGTATATAGTTTATACAGTACGGTACTATAAATTGCTCTGTTTTGCTAAATGATCACCATTCTTTAAGACTCCTGAGTAGGTAGGGCCATCTTCGACTTACGATCTTTTTGACTTACGATGGGGTTGTCGTAACGTATCTCCATCGTAAGTAGAAGACTGCCTGTAATCGTGAAATCGCACAAACCGAACCCGCGTAGAGCGAGGGAAACCTGTGCCAGGGACATGGGAAAGCGCAGTGCCTTTAGCGTGGGAGCTCAGAAGTAGTTCTGGGATCTCTCGTTCTGTGGGCCATTCTCGAAGACACGGGGTGGGTGCACTGCCCTGTGAGGGATCCGATTGGATGCTTTCACCTCACGGCATGGTGCCAGGAGCACAATCGGAATGAGCTTGAAGAGACGAACAAAATGAAACTACAAGGGTCAAAATAAAATCGTGTAAGTCTCCCCGACACTTACTGCCTACGGCCAATCCCATACTCGATACATCTCGGAAGCGAAGCAGGTTTTGAGCGCTTGGACTGGCGAAGGCCATGCATACACAGGTGTGTTAGGTTACTGTGGGGCTACATTGTCAGCAGAGGGCATGAGGTGCTGACCAGTACGTGGAGTGGGAGCACCCATATCGAACAGGGAGGGTCCTTGCCTATAACTATAAACTATTTTATTTTATTTGACCAGGTAAGGCCCACTGAGCTGTATATTTATTCTTCTTGGTTCTTTCGGTAAAGTCACGTAGAAGGGAAATAATAAAATAATAAAAATAAAACATAATAAAATACAATTCTCACGACGTTTCGGCCACAACGCAAGCAGCCGTCCTCAGGTGAAGAACAGGGCTGTCGGAAAGACAGCGTCATCTACTGAAAGAACCAAGAAGATGAATCCCTGCAGTTAAGACAGCTTTAAATCGAAATGTATATTTATTCTTCAGAAGCGACCTGGCTATCGCGAGTGATAGCTCAACGAAGTGGCTTATCACGTGGACATTTATAGCAACCAAATACTCTTAAACCAATAAACTGGCAGTTCAGCGACATTGATTCAAGCGATCCTGAGCCTGCTGACGAGGCAGTGGACGTCAAAGCCGGTCCTCAGTTTTCTTGTGCTGAGTCAATGCTCCTAGAAGTCATCTTCTTGGTTCTTTCGGTAAAGTCATGTAGAAGGAAAATAATAAAATAGGTGACTTTACCGAAAGAACCAAGAAGATGAATCCCTGCAGCCACGAAAACTTTAAATCGAAATTTAAGCTCCTAGAATTATTCGCTCCCAGAAGGCCGTGGGACTGATGGGATGTGTAGAGAGAGAGAGAGATGCTGTGAAGGAGCTATATTATCCGCTTGTTTATTTTACGACGGTAAAGTTCTTCATAGGTTTTGTGAAGAATACTTTACGTCATGTTTCAGTATGCGGAGTGGACTGGCGAAATAACTGCGCGTGTTCATTGAAAAAAACAAATTTGCTACTCCCCGTTGTCCCACAATCCCTTGGGGTGGGGTCGTGACCTCGTGTAGCAGGCGCAGCGTGCGTGAGTGCTCCCCGCTGGTGAGGGCGTCGAGAAGATCATCCACCACACGCGCCGCGTACTCCCCACAGCCCTTGGCGAACTCCTGCAGACTGCACAAAGACAAAGATCCACCGTATAGCCTTGGACAGACTGTTGGGGCAAGTGCAGTTACTGCACCTCATGGGCCAGCACCACGCCTGGCCACATTTGTCGCCCCGATGCTGATGTTTACACACATCGCACCGGGTAATCATTTTAAGGCTGAGTCGACCCAGGAGCGGTCCCAGCACCGGTGCAGACATCCGTCACCGATCTCGGCAGTGACCGGGAGTCAGCTTGCCGGGTTCGTAGCGCAGTGCGCTAACCACTACGCTGCCGCTCCCCACTATACACCTGTAGGCTGTACATAGGCGCACGCATGCACACACGCACACACGCACACGTGTCACACATTCATTAGTTGATTGCGCACAGTCAGCGAAGGACCGTTGCGCCAAACCGCGTGACCTCTTGCGACAGCGTTTGCGTTGATTGCTCTTCGTGGCAGTACATCGACGTCTCAAGCGATTTGTTTGATCCACGGATCACCGGGGGGGGGAGGGCGGGCGACTATGTGGGCGACTATGGGGGCGACTATGGGGGCGGCACCATTCCTTTGACGGTCGCAGTCCACCTGGAACGTGAACCGCCGACTGGCACGCGGGCGTGCTCATCCGACCACGAGCCCGGCTCACCTTTGCCGCGCGGTACTCCAACGCGGGACCCCGCGGCCGCCGGCCTGGGCGAGGCCTCACCTGAGCGCGTACTGCACGGCGGCGTCGTCCCCGTAGGTGGAGTAGAGCAGCTGGGAGGAGGAGGCGGCGCCGTCGAGCAGGCCGGCGAGGGGGCCTTCGTAGGGCGGCGGCGGTGGCGGCGGCGGCACCGGTGGCTGCCCGCTGTAGGGGCCGTAGTTCAGGTACGTCACTGTCAGGGGGGGGGGGCGGAGAGGGGGGGGGGGGTTGAGTGGCTCCCACCGGGTAGGCGAGTCAGGTGGACACAGTGTGGAGGGGGGGTGCGTTAGGTAAATAAAAAAAGGTCGAGGTAAAGGCACGGCCCTGCAATTGCTCACTCGCGCCACCGCTGGGGTTGGCAAGTGCCTCCCCGCCGGATAGATGACAGCTATTTTAAACTGCCGAGGCAGCCGTGTGCATGGGGGGACCTTTGCATGAGAGAGACGGCGGTGGCTTGTGGAAGGCCTTCGTCAGGCAGCAGTGGATGGATCATGGCTGACGATGAAGGCGACGATGATCGCGAGGAGGGCGGAGTTCAAATCTGGGTTGAACCCGGCGGCGGCGGTGACGTGGCGGTGAAACGGCCGGGCGATTTGCCTATCACGCTGCGATAGCTAACATCCCTAAAACTAAACTCTTTGGTTCTTTCGGTAAAGTCACGCAGGTAAAAAAACAATAGATCACGACGTTTCGATCGCAACGCGAGCAATCGTCATCAGGTGGGACAACCACGGCAAGAAGAAACTGCTGAAGTAGGCGAGGGATCTGCCGTGGCACGAGGTTATATAGTGTAGTGTAGTGTGTAGTGTAGTGTATAGTGTAGTGTATAGTGTAGTGTATAGTAGTGTATAGTGTAGTGTATAGTGTAGTGTATAGTGTATAGTGTAGTGTATAGTGTAGTGTATAGTAGTGTATAGTGTAGTGTGTAGTGTAGTGTGTAGTGTAGTGTGTAGTGTAGTGTGTAGTGTAGTGTGTAGTGTAGTGTATAGTAGTGTATAGTGTAGTGTGTAGTAGTGTATAGTGTAGTGTATAGTGTAGTGTGTAGTAGTGTAGTGTATAGTAGTGTATAGTGTAGTGTGTAGTGTATAGTGTAGTGTATAGTAGTGTATAGTGTAGTGTATAGTGTAGTGTATAGTAGTGTATAGTAGTGTATAGTGTAGTGTATAGTGTATAGTGTAGTGTATAGTAGTGTATAGTGTAGTGTATAGTAGTGTATAGTGTAGTGTATAGTAGTGTATAGTGTAGTGTATAGTGTATAGTGTAGTGTATAGTAGTGTATAGTGTAGTGTATAGTGTAGTGTATAGTAGTGTAGTGTATAGTAGTGTATAGTGTAGTGTATAGTAGTGTAGTGTATAGTAGTGTATAGTGTAGTGTGTAGTGTATAGTGTAGCGTATAGTGTAGTGTATAGTGTAGTGTATAGTGTAGTGTATAGTAGTATATAGTATAGTGTAGTGTATAGTGTAGTGTGTAGTGTATAGTGTAGTGTATAGTAGTGTATAGTGTGTAGTGTAGTGTATAGTGTAGTGTATGGTGTAGTGTAGTGTATAGTAGTGTATAGTGTAGTGTATAGTGTAGTGTATAGTGTAGTGTATAGTAGTGTATAGTGTAGTGTATAGTAGTGTATAGTGTAGTGTGTAGTGTATAGTGTAGTGTATAGTAGTGTATAGTGTGTAGTGTAGTGTGTAGTGTAGTGTATAGTAGTGTATAGTGTATAGTGTAGTGTGTAGTGTATAGTAGTGTATAGTGTAGTGTGTAGTGTATAGTGTAGTGTATAGTAGTGTATAGTGTGTAGTGTAGTGTGTAGTGTGTAGTGTAGTGTGTAGTGTATAGTAGTGTATAGTGTAGTGTATAGTAGTATATAGTATAGTGTAGTGTATAGTGTAGTGTGTAGTGTATAGTGTAGTGTATAGTAGTGTATAGTGTGTAGTGTAGTGTATAGTGTAGTGTATGGTGTAGTGTAGTGTATAGTAGTGTATAGTGTAGTGTATAGTGTAGTGTACTAGTAGAGCACTAGTGTGTAGTGTATAGTGTAGTGTATAGTAGTGTAGTGTATAGTGTAGTGTATAGTAGTGTAGTGTATAGTAGTGTATAGTAGTGTATAGTGTAGTGTATAGTAGTGTAGTGTATACTGTAGTGTACTAGTACAGCACGCCGGTGTGTTGCAGAGCAAAGCCACAACATTTACAATCTGAGTACGATGTTTCGCCAGTAATTACAACCAGCTTCATCAGGCGACAGCCAGATTTGTAGAGAAGTCTTACTGTTTCGTTCCTTATATAGAGGCGTAGATGTGTTGACCACCCTTCTGCGCTCTTGCACAATGATGGGGGTGGATTACTGAGGCAGCGTACATTATGCAACTACAATTCCTTATAGAGGAAACGCATAGTAATTAACTGCTTACTAACCTATTGTATAATTATAATACCCCCCCCCCCCTTCCTCCGCCTCTGATTTCTGCACCTGATTGGGTTCCGTGATGGCGTCGTGCTACTGCTGCTCGATTTAAGACCAGAAGCAGATGGATGGCTTCACTATTCTGGCAAATCGCCCGATGATGCTGGGTGTAATTACCAGCGAAACGCCGTATTCAATTTGTCAATGTTGTGGATTTGCTCTCCAACACACCGGTGGGCTAAAGTCGTAACTAATTGGCGCATTCTATGAGATCTCTTTTACCAGTGGCAAAATATAGTAGTAGGTTTTTACCCTTTTAAACTGGTACAAAACTGACACCTTTATTCAAGGCATCATGTTTTCCATAACCACAACACAAGTAGTCAAAAAAGCAAACAAAAAGAAGCTTATTTTTGTTTGCTTTTTTGACTACTTGTGTTGTGGTTATTGCAAACATGATGACTTGAATAAAGGTGTCAGTTTTGTACCAGTTTAAAAGGGTAAAAATCTACTACTATAATTGGCGCATTGTTAACGTTGCAAACCCTATTGGCTGTGGCGGGCGATGAAGGGTTACGACACATTTAATCTTGCGCGATCAAACCCAATAACCTGTATTATGAGCATCATCATTGTTGGCCAAACATTCCAACATAGGACAGCAGAACTTGGGCAATTGGTGGCGCCTTTATGCTTGTCTATGGTTTTCCACGCCTCTGGTTCATTCTCTGTAAGGGGGTCAATGAAAATGTCACCGCCACCATCATGATCATCGCAGAGTCACGTTTCACACCTGGCCTGAGCTTTCCCCGTCGGTCGTCCCTGAAGCCGGGAGGCACCGGGATTCCTGGATGAATCTTTCCGACGAGAACGCCCATGTTCACCGGATACATCTCCTCCTCTTCACAGCCAAACACGCACGCACACACGTACACACACACGTACACATGCACACGTACACACGTACACACACACACACACGTACACACACACGTACACACACACATGTACACACACACACACAAGTACACACACACACGTACACACGCACGTACACATACACGCACACACACACATGTACATACGCACGTACACACACACGCACGGCAAATTACAACACGGGACAGGCCGCCACTGCTACTACAACCACCATAACCATCACTATAACCAACACCACTTCTACCACAACCACCATGACCATTACTGTTCCCACCACCATCACTACAACCACCACGGCAACTACCACCAGCACCACCACCACCACCACTGCCGCCAACACCACTCCAACCACCAGGACCACCGCTGGCTTCACGACGATCACCGCCTGGGCTAGGGGGTGTAGACAGACGCGAGCCCATTGTACGTCCGTACGTATGTTGAACTTCTTTCGCACCGTAGGCAGCCAACCGCGCCAATCGAAAGGTGCATCGTTTGGCACCGGCGCTCCGGGAGACGGAATCGGACCGGCTACCACTGGTTTGGAAGCCCGTGCGATAACCACTTCACGGTGGCGGTAGCGCTGTGGCCTGGCCGCGAGGCTCGGTCGGGGGGGGGGGGGGGGGGCAGGGGGGGACAAGGGCCCCCCACGAGGTCTCCGGGCGATGACGTTACCCTCGGTGTCCGGGTCCGAAGGGTTGACGACCGCCAGCGACGTGGAGCCACCGCAGTCCCGCCGGAGGAACCCGATCTGACACCCGCAGACCCCGGGCGCAGATCCGGGCAGGTTCGGGCAAACCCGGACAGATCGGGAGAGATCGGGAGAGATTCCAGGCAGATCCGGAAAGATCCGGGCAGATCCGGACAGAGATCCGGTGGCCACAGGGAGGAGTGGGAAGAGAGAGAGAAAAAGGAGAGTGAGCAGGAGGGGAAGGTGCAGAGAGTGGAGTGGGATATGACAATGACGCTGACGCTGACGCTATCTGTGTCTGGGAAGAGAGGAGAGATGGAAGGGGAGAAGGGGAGAGTGGAGGGAAAGGAGAGGGGAGAGAGAGCAGAGGGGAGAATGTAGAATGGAGAGGAGATTGGGGTGTGGATGGGAAAGAGTGTAGAGAGAGGAGGCAGAGATTGATGTCTTGGGGTGGCACAGGGGGCATTGAAGAGCAACTGCATGGAAGGTCCGAGTGGGTTGGGTGGACACACAGGAACGAGCGGGCTGGGTGGGACGAGCGGGCTGGGTGGGACGAGCGGGCTGGGTGGGACGAGCAGGCTGGGTGGACACACAGGGATGAGTGGAGTGGGTGGGACGAGCGGGCTAGGTGGACACACAGGGACGAGCGGGCTGGGTGGACACACAGGGATTAGCAGGCTGGGTGGGATGAGCGGGCTGGGTGGGTGGACACACAGGGACGAGTGGGCTGGGTGGGCACACAGGGACGAGCGGGCTGGGTGGGACGAACGGGCTGGGTGAGACGAGCGGGCTGGGTGGAATGAGCGGGCTGGGTGGGACGAAGGGCTGGGTGGCCACACAGGGGCGAGCGGGCTGGGTGGACGCACCTTGCTGCGGGGGCGGCCGTGCTGCAGGCGCTCGCGCGCCTCGTCGGCCGCGTGCTCGGCCAGCGCGGTGACGTCCTCCTCGCCCGTGCTGCTGCCCCCCCCCGTGCTGCTGCCCCCCGTGCTGCTGCCCGCGAGGCTGCACGCGCTCGACTCCGGCGTGTAGGCCGCCGCCGCCGCCGCGGGGAAGCTGGGACATGCGGGGCGGGGGGAGGAGTGGTGGGGGGTGGGGGGGCAGCGGGCGGCGGAGGGCACGACAACACAAACGGCGCGATACGCTCGCGCGACACACACACGCGCCGTGATACGCCCGTGCTCTCAAATGAGATTGTGCGGGTCAGTGGCGGTGGTGGAGGGAGCACCATCATTGCCACCACCCCACTGCCAAAGATACAGACAAAGTTCCCCTGTGTAGCCTTAATAGATTGTTGGGGCAAATGCTGTGAGCGAGCAGCGATGAAGGCCGACACGGCACACGAGGGGGTGGTAGGCTAGCACCACGCCCAGCCGCCTTTGTCTCCCTAGTGCTACTCGTACGAGTCGACGTAGGGGAGGCCCAGGACCAGTTCAAATAACCGTGAGCGGGAGTCGAACCCGGGTTGCCATTGCCATCACCAGCACTCCTACCTCCAATGCCATCACCGATGATAACGCCACCACCGTTATCATCACCATCACCACCACCGTCACGACCATTGCCATCGCAATTACCGCCACCACCACCATCATAACCATCATAACCACCACCGCCTCCCTGCCCCCGGCACCTCAGTGCGTCCCTGCCGGACTTGCGTGCTCGCCGGCCGGCCTCGGTGCGCTCGGCAGGCGAGAGGGAGCCGTGGTCGCTGTTGGCGCCGGCGCCACCACCGCCGCCGGGCAGCAACAACAGCAGCGGAGAGGAGGAGGAGCAGCCGCCACCCTCGCCGTAGATGGCGGCCTCCTGCGAGCGGTCCATGCTGTGCATGAACACCATGCTCCGCTTGAGCAGCAGCAGCTTCTCCTGTGGTGCCCACAGATGGGGTTAGGGTTAGGGGTTAGGGGCGACGTGCAAGGAGTGGTGATAGGGAGAGGTTTGGGTTAGATGTTAGAGGTTATGGTTCGGAGTGGAGATAGTTTTGGGTTAGAGGTTAGAGGTTAGGAGTGGAGATAGGTTTGGGTCAGAGGTTAGGGGTTAGGAGTGGAGATAGGTTTGGGTTAGAGGTTAGGGGTTAGGAGTGGAGATAGAGTTGGGTTAGAGGTTAGAGGTTAGGAGTGGAGATAGGTTTGGGTTAGAGGTTAGGGGTTAGAAGTGGAGATAGAGTTTGGTTAGAGGTTAAGGGTTAGGAGTGGAGATAGATTTGGGTTAGAGGTTAGGGGTTAGGAGTGGAGATAGGTTTGGGTTAGAGGTTAGAGGTTAGGGGTTAGGAGTGGAGATAGAGTTTGGTTAGAGGTTAAGGGTTAGGAGTGGAGATAGGTTTGGGTTAGAGGTTAGAGGTTAGGGGTTAGGAGTGGAGATAGATTTGGGTTAGAGGTTAGAGGTTAGGGGTTAGGAGTAGAGATAGGTTTGGGTTAGAGGTTAGGGGTTAGGAGTGGAGATAGGTTTGGGTTAGAGGTTAGAGGTTAGGAGTGGAGATAGGTTTGGGTTAGAGGTTAGAGGTTAGGGGTTCGGAGTGGAGATAGATTTGGGTTAGAGGTTAGGGGTTAGGAGTGGAGATAGGTTTGGGTTAGAGGTTAGGAGTGGAGATAGGTTTGGGTTAGAGGTTAGGGGTTAAAGGTTAGGAGTGGAGATAGGTTAGAGGTTAGGGGTTAGGGGTTAGGAGTGGAGATAGGTTTGGGTTAGAGGTTAGGGGTTCGGAGTGGAGATAGGTTTGGGTTAGAGGTTAGGGGTTAGGAGTGGAGATAGAGTTGGGTTAGAGGTTAGAGGTTAGGGGTGGAGATAGAGTTGGGTTAGAGGTTAGAGGTGATGGTTAGGAGTGGAGATGTGGATAGAGTTGGGCTAGAGGTTAGGGTTCAGAATGGAGACAAGGAGATAAGGCTGGGTTAGGATTTGGGATGGACACAGGGAGCAAGGGATAGTCTTGGGGTTATAGATGGAGATCAAGTTGGGAAAATGGTTGGGGTTGACGATGGGTTTATAGCAGAGGCGGTGTGTTTAAATGGCACCTGAAGGTATCTAAGAGGCAACTCTGTGATATCCACTTCCGTGGACCGTTCTCTAACACAGGGCAACGCCACATGAGCTTCTGCAATAATTGCCGAATAAACGTAACTTGCTGTCATCACATGACACCGATTTATAATTGGGGAAAAACAAGGCGAACATTTATTTTAATAAATATTTTTTTACAAACCTTGCACATCATCTTGAATCCCGTGTGCAGGAGCTTTCTGGCTGCCTTGTAGTACACGGTCTCCGGGCGGTTGTAGGTCATCGCATTGTCACACATCAGCTTGAAGTCCCCCTGTGGTGTAAAAGAGCTGCGGTGAAGCACGGCGGGTGGTAGGGAAGGACGTGTGTTTACGACTTTCGGATTATCCGGAGCAAAAGTCGAAGAAAAAAAAGATCGGACCGAGATGCGACGGTTAGGGCGATTCAGAAATGAAAGATCCAGAAATGAAATTTGCTTCGGATTGACTGCGGGAGTGCGACGTCACGAGAAGCGGCGGCGTAACTTGCATCGCGCCACTTCCGCGCTTTCACCAACGAAGCTGAAGTCACGAGGCGACGTCACTTTTTTCAGCACGAAGACGTTACATTTAATAACGTAAATGATCTGAAGATCTTTTTTAGATTTAAAGCTTTCGTGACTGCAGGGATTCATCCTATTGGTTCTTTCGGTGAAGTCACGTAGAAGGGAAATAATACAATAATAAAAAATAATAAAATTCTCAGGACGTTTCGGCCACAACACAAGCAGCCGTCCTCAGGTGAAGAAACAGAGCTGTCCCTTCTACGTGACTTTACCGAAGCAGATCTGAAGACCCAAAACATTTGTCTTCAACGCCAGGGCATTCATCTCAGCACATTTTTATTTTTATTTTAAAGAGCACCCCCAGCGGCAGCTGTCTCCGTGGGCACAACGTGACGGTGGCGCTGACCTTAAACTCGGTGAGCGACTGGTAGGCGTTGCGTTCGATCTTGTCCTTCATGCTGCTGAAGTCCATCGGGTGCTTGATGATCATGGAGTAGCCCGGAGCGATCATGTCCGTCACAGGCAGCGCGAAAAATCCGTGCGGGTCCCTCCTGGGGAAGGAAGGCAAACCACGAGAACGTCGCACGTGTGGCCCATCTACGGCGTGTAGTGCCGTAGATGGGCCACACTTACCGACAGTGGTGGACAGGGCCCATCTGCAGGTACCTCGGACCCTCAGGGGAGGGGCCACTGTGCAAGCCCAAGAGGGGAGGGGCTGCTGGGGGCTCAAGATCCCAGACAGCTAAGCCCCTTGGCGCCACCAACGGGGGGCTGCGAGGGATCTATGATCCCACGCAACCCCACCCCTCGATGGGCAAGGGGGATAAAAGGGCACCTCCCCAGCCGATCGGGGCCAGTCGCAGCTGAAGACCCAAGACCAGCCAGCTTAGGACCCTGGACCCCCTCGTCCCGCTTGTCCTTGTAAGGGCCGGGACGCTGTGCGGGCCAGTGGTGGGACTCTGGGACTCCCGGCTCTACGCCCTTGTAAGGGCGAGGTCCGAGGAAGCCAGAGTCGAGACCCGTACCTTGGCTGGGTCGGGTCAGGTAGCCTCCCGTGGGGTAATCGTAGCCGAAGGACCCGAGAGCGTAGCCAGTGTCAGGCACGCTAGAAGTAGGCTGTGTCAGTACTGTTGGAGTGGTGTGTTGTAATAAAGAAGTTACCTATGAAAAGTGTCTCCGGAACCCATTACACATGGAATCACATGCCGCTCATCCTTAACGTTTATAATTATCAAGGTCCACGCCTGTGTTGTATTTGTTTGCCTGTGAGATTGAAGCACTGCACGTACGCACGTTGAACTTCTTTTCGCGCCGTGTGTAGCCAACCATGATAATCAGAGGTGCAGGGGAAGGACAACAAACTATGGGTCTCTGTGTGAGTCTATGGGTCTCTGTGTGAGTCTATGGGTCTCTGTGTGAGTCTATGGGTCTCTGTGTGAATCTATGGGTCTCTGTGTGAGTCTATGGGTCTCTGTGTGAATATATGGGTCTCTGTGTGAATCTATGGGTCTCTGTGTGAATCTATGGGTCCCTGTGTGAATCTATGGGTCTCTGTGTGAGTTTATGTGTCTCTGTGTAAATCTATGGACCTCTGTGTGAATCTATGGGTCTCTGTGTGAGTCTATGTGTCTCTGTGTGAGTCTATAGGTCTCTGTGTGAGTCTATAGTTCTCTGTGTGAGTCTATGGGTCTCTGTGTAAGTATGGGTCTATGTATATTTCTACGTGTCTCTATGTGAGTCTATGTGTCTCTGTGTGAGTCTATGGATCCCTGTGTGATTCTATGGGTCTCTGTGTGAGTCTATGTGTCTCTGTGTGAGTCTATAAATGTTGAACTTCTTTCGCACCGTACGGAGCCAATGTTGCTAATCGGCGTTGCGGAGGATAGACAACTAACCATAAAAAAATCTGTTCTAAAGAAATTATTGTGTCAATCTGGACGATTTTAAAGTGCATAGCTACAGCGGATTCCTCATATCGGCAGGAAGAGCGTTCCAGACGGCCGCAGAAGCGCATCTGAAAGCTCGCGATGCAGTGACCCTCTCCGTTGGGTGGCTCGTAACAAAGGATCTTTCGACATTTACCGGTGGCTCAACGGAGTTGTGAAAATGCATTCCAGTCGATACCAACAGAGTCATATCGTAGACGGACAGGCGTGGAGAAGATAAGGGGGGGGGGGGGGGGTCCTGAGCAGCCTGTCACTTGAACGAGATTCTCAGCTGCAACTGACAGTTCACTCTTCCATACGCACATTGAGTGGCACCCTAACATGCGGCGGAACGTCAGACATCGTGCTGGAAGCTTCTTCGGTTTATAAATTCACTTTCTGAATAAGTTCCCAGCAGGGCGGCCCACTTAGAGCCGACTTAAGGATGCCATTCATAATCAACGTTTCTGGGTTTAGATCGCGTTATTTATAAATGTGTCGTAACCCTCCACCACCCGACACGGCCAATCAGTAAAAAAAGTGTCACGTTGACAGAAGACAAATAGTTCACTGCTTTAGCCCACCGGTGTGTTGAAGAGTGACACCACAACATTTACAATTTGAGTACGACGTTTCGCTGGTAATTACATCCAGCATCATCGTGGTTTCACGCTTTGAGTAGCACGACGTTTCGCTGGTAATTGCATCCAGTATCATCGGGTAATTCGCCAGAATGGTGAGGCTCTGCTCTGTCTCTCGGTCTTATCAAGTCATCAGGTGCAACGATTTGATCATTAACTCATCAACTCATCAGGTGCAACGATTTGAGGCGGAAGGGGGGGGGGGATTATTGTAATTGTATACTAGATTAGTAATTATTGTAATTGTATACTAGATTAGTAATTATTGTAATTGTATACTAGATTAGTAATTATTGTAATTGTATACTAGATTAGTAATTATTGTAATTGTATACTAGATTAGATTAAGGATGCCACTTTGTACCCACAGGGACAGCTGCCACTGGGGGTGCCCTTTCAAAGGTGTTTGATATGAAATGTAATGCGAGCCGCTCTGAGACCCCCCCGGCGTATAGGTGCGCCATACCAAAAACAAGTAATGATTACATTTCGATTTAAAGCTTTCGTGACTGCAGGGATTCATCTTCTTGGTTCTTTCGGTAAAGTCACGTATAATGGAAATAATAAAATAATAAAAATAAAACATAAATATGCTAAATAATTTTGTCAAGGCGCCCTTCCCCCCTCCATCCCAGCTAAAATAGTCGCTCCAAGCCTGGAGTGTGTCATCCAGACGCTGTCTTTCCGACAGACCTGCTCTCCACCTGAGGACGGCTGCTTGCGTTGTGGCCGAAACGTTGTGAGAATAATTTTATAATGTTGTATTTTTATTATTTTATTACTTCCATTCTACGTGACTTTACCGAAAGAACCAAGAAGAAGTAACGATTATTGTGACCGCGCTGACAACGATGACGGCGATGAAGTCACCTTTGAAGCTGCTGCAAAAGGTGTTCAAGTAACAGCTGCAGCGGTGTGAGCTCCTGGCCTGGGGGAGGCATTGAGAGCGGAATGATAACGTAGAGCTGCCTGCCAGCAATTCAAATCCAATAGATGAATAAACAAGTAAACCCGTAAAAACAAAGTTTTTCACTATAAATCCTTTATATGCGTGGCGGCTAGAGTCCTCTCGTCCTCTGGCTTGAGATGGCTGCCACCTATGGGTCAGATGATTGTCTGTCAGTATTAAGCAATTGGTAATTAAATATTTAATTTGTTTTCCCTAAACAGTGTAAAATTTTGGGAATTTTTTTCACGAACATTAATTGTCTCACACAACGAGCCTGTGTGCAAAATGTCAGCTCGATTGGATCACGGGAAGTGGGTTAAAAAACGAGCGAAAGATTTGCACGGTCCTAAGCAAGCAAGCAAGCACGCAAGCAAGCACGCAAGCAAGCAAGCAAGCACGCAAGCAAGCAAGCAAGCGAACTTAATATAAAGGATTTAAAAACAACAATACTCCTAAATTCAGGCCGGAGGAAATTTGTTTGGACGGCCCAAAACGTTTGGTTGTTTATGATTGGTCCGAAAAGGGAAGTGACGTCTCTTCCCCCCTCCCAACCCCCCCCCCCCCCTCAGAAAGTGGCGTCCACGTGGTATCGCACCACACGAGCACACTATGGAAACGCTCAGGAAGTCTCCCGCCAGAAAAAGTTCCGAAGTTGTCCTTAAAATATTCAATGATAGTAAATATGAAAGTGATCTCTAATCGACAACCGCAACGCAAAACAAAAAAATAAATCACAACCCAAAAAAAAATGGCAATAATTTTGACACGAAAGAATAATATCCCCTCACTGTTAAGACTCTAGTACTTGAGGTTAAGTCCGGTGCATCAGGTTAACTGAGAAAACAGTCACTTTCTTAAGAGGTGAGGTGAGGCTATTTTTTACGACTATTTTCGTGTTATTGAGTGATTGAACTGATAATCGGTTTTACCGAGTAATCAAACCGACAGTGGGCTAATCAAACCGATAATCGGGCTAATCGCTTCAATAATCATCGGACATCCCGGCTGTGGCCCCCTTGTCCGACTCGTAGAGCATTCAAGTTGATAATCGAGTAATCAAAGCCGCGATAATCCGCAATCGATGTTTTAAAATGATGGGCGTCACGGTGGCGGGTGAGCGAGTGAGCGAGTGGGCGAGTGGGCGAGCGGGTGGACGCGGCGGTGCCTTGGTCCTTGTTGCGGCAGGCTCGCAGGGGTCGCTCCGGCACCGGCGGAGCCTTCACCTCCACCTTCTTGGGTGGAGAGAACTCCTCGTCCGCGTCGCTGCCGCTCTGCTCCTTCTCGCGATGCTTCTTCTTCTCCACCTAGATGACGCGGCGGGGTCATGCGGCGGGGTCGCGCGCAGCGGGGTCGTGCGTGGGGTCACAGGCGGGGTCACAGGCGGGGTCACAGGCGGGGTCACAGGTGGGGTCACAGGCGGAGTCACAGGCGGAGTCACAGGTGGGGTCACAGGCGGGGTCACAGGTGGGGTCACAGGCGGGGTCACAGATGGGGTCACACGCGGGGTCACAGACGGGGTCACACACGGGGTCACAGGCAGGGTCACAGACGGGGTCACAGGCGGGGTCACACGCAGGGTCACATGCAGGGTCACAGGCGGGGTCACAGGTGGGGTCACAGGCGGGGTCACAGATGGGGTCACACGCGGGGTCACAGACGGGGTCACACGTGGGGTCACAGGCAGGGTCACAGACGGGGTCACAGGCGGGGTCACAGGCAGGGTCACACGCGGGGTCACATGCAAGGTCACAGGTGGGGTCACAAGTCGGTTTCAAAAGACAAAGATCCCCCATGTGTAGCCTCACCAGGCTGTTGGGGCAAGTGCTGTTAGTGAGCAACTACGAAGGCCGGCACGGCACACGAGGGGATGGGTGGCCAGCACCACGCTTTGTCTCCCTAGTGGTTATGTTTACACACCGCACCAGGTAGTCATTTGAGGCTTTTTGTGTTTAGTTTGTTGTCCTTAGCCCACACCTCCGATTAGGGCGGTTGGCTACGTACGGTGGGAAAGAAGTTCAACATACATACATCTACTTAAGTGTTAAAGGCTCCTATACACTTCTAGATTGAGGCTGAGTCGACCTAGGGGAGGCCCAGGACCAATGCAGCTAATCGTCACTGGTGTTGGGCGTAAGCGGGAATCAAACTCGGGTTGCTGAGTTTGTAGCACAGCGCGCTAACCGCTACACTACCGCTCACATGCGGGGTCACACGCGGGGTCATACGCGGGGTCACACACGGGGTCACAGATGGGGCCATGTGAGGTCACACTCGTGGGCACACGGGGTCAGAGGAGGGATCAAGTGGGGGGTACATGGTCGGCGATCGTGCTTGCTTGGTGATTATAAAAGTAATCAGTCTCCAATGTCTTTGTTTTAGATGTCAAAACCATCTCTAAATCCGCTGCCAGGTGAAGGCCCCGCAGCATTAACCGGGGCGGCCGACAGGGCTGCGACCGCGAACCTCTGCAACGAGCGGCAAACGCGCTACCGCGCGGCCGTCCCACCGTCACGGCTTGCGCCCCCCCACACCTTCCTGCGCCGGCGCTCCTCATCACCGGGCCGGCGCTCCCTCTCCTTCTCCGATTTCTTCTTCTTTTTTTTCCGGCGCTCGCGGTGCCGCTCCGAGTCTGCGTTCCGATCCGGCTCGGCGTCCGGCTCCGGTTGCGGCCCGTCAGTCGAGCCAAGCGAAGGCGAGGGCCCGGTCTTGGCGACGGCTGCGATGGTTACGGCGGCGGCGGCGGAGACTGGGGGCTGGCGCACCGGCGGCTCGTGCGCCGTGGCGGCGGTGGCGGTTGTGTTGGCGGCGTCGGTGTTCGCGGCGGTGGTCACGCTCGAGGCTGTTGTGGTTGTGGTGGCGGCGGCGGCGGTGGTGGATGCGGGTGCGGCCGGCGAGCTGGTGGTCAGAGATGCCACCGTGGCGCCCACCACCTTGAGCACGAGGCGGAGCGGTTTGTCCGTCCGCTCTGCGGCCTCACACAGACCGGCTGGCGACAGAAACACGGCGCCCGCTCGCTCTCAATGGGGTCGTCATCATCGACTGTCCCGCTAAACACATCAGGGTTGCCCAACGTCGGTTGCCGTTGGCCCAACGCGAAGCCCGACGGCCCGTCCAGATTCGGGGAAGATAGATGTTATTCTACGTTGTGTTCTGGTAACCCAATCGCATCACGAGGCCGGTCGAGATGACTGGGCAACATCGCAGAGAGGGAACGCGACTGGTTCACGTGACGGCAACAATTTTTTCGAATAAAGTTTGTTTTGTTTTTGGGTTAGATCTCGGAAATATAAATGCGTCGTTAAATCCGCCACCACCGGGCACAACCAATTACTAATGTTTGTCACGTTCTTTGGGCCTTTCGGTAAAGTCACGTAGATAGGTTCAAAGAAAATTACATTTTTTTCGTTATTTTTTGTTATTTTCTTTGAACCTATCTACGCGACTTTACCGAAAGACCCAAAGAATGTGAATTCCTGCAGTCACAAAAGCTTTAAGTCAAGATTTAATGTTAGCCACGTAAACAAAACGTGTCAATTAGTGATTACAGCACTTCAGCACACCGGTGTGTTGGAGAGTAAACCCACAACATTCACAATTTTTACTCAAATTGTAATTGTGAATATAATGGTCGCGAAAGCCTACGTGTCAAACTGGCTTGATTCAAAAGCGGTACTTCTGGGTAGAGGCTGTACCTCTACAGTGACCATCAGCCCACACCGCCTTGTTCAATGCCCCTGTAGATGGAATCGAACAAACAAACGTATATTATTCCTCTTCTTGGTTCTTTCGGTAAAGTCACGTAGAATGGAAATAATGCGTTGTGGCCAAAACGTCGTGAGAATTATTTTATTATGTTTTATTTTTATTATTTTATTATTTCCATTCTACGTGACTTTACCGAAAGAACCAAGAAGATGAATCCCTGCAGTCACGAAAGCTTTAAATCGAAATTTATATTTTTCCTCTAAACTAAAACAACTAAAATCTTGATATGAAGCTTTCGTGACTGCAGGAATCAGTGGGGACATAGTCAGCAGTTCACTCCTGCTGTATCTGTTCCACCTGATGACGGACGCTTGTATTGCGATCGAAACGTCGTGATTTATTTAATGTTATACCCACGTGACTTTACCGAAAGAACCAACGAGTATAAAACAACTAAACTATTTTTATGTGACCAGGTATAAGGCCCATTGAGCTATGTAGCTCTTTCACAGAAGCGACCTGGCTATCAACAAAGTACAGCTCAACTAAGTGGCTTATCACGTGGACATGTATAGCAGCAGCCGAATACTCTTAACGCACGTTTCTAATTGTGGAGGGAAAAAAGTGGAGGACCTGGAGAAAAATCCACGTAACCACGGGGATAAAATGCAAACTCCAAATATACAGCAGCAGGCGTCAGGGTCGAGGATCGAACCGACGACCTCCTGCATACCAGGCGAGGTAGTTAACATCTCCTAGCCAGCTTAAGACTTCAATCCCCGGTTCACTGTTGTATCACGTGATGGGCACCATAGCTCGACTCCACCTTGGAAATTTTCACCGCAACATTTCGGCAGTTACGCACACGGCAAGATACGGTACAAGACTTCTACAGTACTGGGATTCTGTGGACTGCAAACCGGTGGGACGTGCACAATCATGGGTGCGACTCAGAATCTGAGTTTTTACTTATACTGGATGAGGAATCCGATGAGCTATGAAGCTCTTTTCCCACGGGTTTCTAGTAGACGCACGGGGTCAGAACGTTCCAACAACAAACAATAAAACAAAATTCTAGATTTGAAGCTTTCGTGACTGCAATGATTCATACTCTTAGTTCTTTCGGTAAAGTCACGTAGGTAAAAAATGAAATTAAAATGAATGAAAATAAAACAATAAAATCACGACGTTTCGGAGGCAACACAAGTCTCCGTCATCAGGTGGGACCGTCACAGCCAGATGCAGAAAATCTGGCTGTGACGGTCCCACCTGATGACGGAGACTTGTGTTGCCTCTAAAACGTCGTGATTTTATTGTTTTATTTTTATTAATTTTAAATAACAATAAAAAAACACAATAGGAGTGCAAAGTATAGGAAAGGTAAAAAAATCACTTTATATAACAAAAAAAGACAAATAAAACTAAACTATTGCTTTTAAATCTTACCAGGTAAAGGTTGACTGAGCTACTAGCTTCTTTTTCAGAAGCGACCTGGCCACAAACGATAGCTCAACGAAGTGGGAATTCACGCCAGGTGAGCCGACACGGGCTACACGTGTCTCATGGGAAGATCAATCGACCGCTGTCCCGCGGTGCTGTGATGTAACAATCCATGTAACACCAGCGGCACGCCAGCTGAATTCATTGCTTCATGTCCACGGCGGTATATGGATATGCAAAGGATTGCTGTAGTACAATGTAATCATCGTCTGTTTTGAGATTCAGTAGAGAGCTGTGTTTTAAAATGCCCACTATAATGGCGAGTATCATCATCATCATCATGCCAGTTCCAATCACAAATAATTGTCATCATTATGAAAACCATCACCATGATTTCATTCATCACATATTGATAACTTTGATAACTCTGTTGACAAATCATGCCATCACCAGCATTATCATCATCATCATCACAACATCCACTATGATCAAAATCGCAATAATCATTCCGCTGATAACCATCCATATACGATGACCATCATTCCCTATGCTTGACGATGTCGTGCTGATGATGGATCGTAATAACCTTTCGAATCAAAATCATCTCAAACACTTATCTCCATCACAATGATTCATCACCACCGTCATGTTGACAATAACCCACGTGATGGTGATGCTAAGAACCTCATCGCGCTGATGATCCGATAATAAATATTACAACAATCACCACCTCAATCCCAATGATAATTAACTACCCTCATCACCGCTGTCATGTTGACAATCATCCACGTGATCGTGCTACTACTGATGGCATGCTATTGATGATGATGACACCATCACATCATCATCACCACCACCACCACCAGCCACGTGAACCCACAAAGAGATGAAATCATCACAATCCATACCTTTGTAGTCGCGTCTCTCCGATTTGTGTTTCTTGTGTTTTTTACCCATAACTGCCGATGCTGCTGCTGATATTGTCAATGTCTTCGCTTTGCTGCTGCTGCTGCTACTGCTGCTATTATTGTCATCATCACCACCGCCACCACCACCACCACCGCACTCACTGCCATTAAAATTCACATCTCCTACCGCTCGAAAACCCCGCTCCGAATTGCCTTCGGGCTCCGGTGAACGGGGCAAAGGTTTTCTCAGGCGCGTCGGGAGACTATCGAGACGGAGGGGAGCCGCGTGGGCCTTGAGGGAAGGAGCCCTCCTCCTCTCTCATCCCACCCGCGGCATTGTTTGGCAATAACACTCAGCGATGTGTGTGCGCGGTGTGCGATGCGCGGCGTGCCTGCGAAGCGAATTCTTTTGCGACGCTCCAATTGCGCATGGGCCGTCGTGCGCCCCGCGAAGGCAGAGTCGCGTCTCTCCGCCAGAGGGCAGCAGAAGGCAACAGCAATGGGGGGGGGGCAGCAGTAGGCAATAGCAATGGGGGGGGGGGGGGGGGGGCCGCAGAAAGCAATAATAATGGGGGGGGGGGCAGCAGAAGGCAATAGCAATGGGGGGGGGGGGGGTGGGCAGCAGTAGGCAATAGCAATGGGGGGGGGGGGGTGGGCAGCAGTAGGCAACAGCAATGGGGGGGCAGCAGAAGGCAATAGCAATGGGGGGGGATGGGCAGCAGTAGGCAATAACAATTGGGGGGGAGGGCAGCAGTAGGCAACAGCAATGGGGGGGCAGCAGAAGGCAAGAGCAATGGGGGGGATGGGCAGCAGTAGGCAATAACAATTGGGGGGGAGGGCAGCAGTAGGCAACAGCAATGGGGGGGCAGCAGAAGGCAATAGCAATGGGGGGGATGGGCAGCAGTAGGCAATAACAATTGGGGGGGGGGCAGCAGTAGGCAATAGCAATGGGGGGGCAGCAGTAGGCAATAGCAATGGGGGGGGGGGGGGGTGGGCAGCAGTAGGCAACAGCAATGGGGGGGGGGTGGGCAGCAGTAGGCAACAGCAATGGGGGGGGGGGGGTGGGCAGCAGTAGGCAACAGCAATGGGGGGGGGGGTGGGCAGCAGTAGGCAACAGCAATGAGGGGGGGTGGGCAGCAGTAGGCAACAGCAATGGGGGGGGGGGGCAGCAGTAGGCAATAGCAATGGGGGGGGGGGGGTGGGCAGCAGTAGGCAACAGCAATGAGGGGGGGGGTGGGCAGCAGTAGGCAACAGCAATGGGGGGGGGGGTGGGCAGCAGTAGGCAACAGCAATGGGGGGGGGGGGTGGGCAGCAGTAGGCAATAGCAATGGGGGGTGGGTGGGCAGCAGTAGGCAACAGCAATGGGGGGTGGGTGGGCAGCAGTAGGCAACAGCAATGGGGGGGGGGGGGGTGGGCAGCAGTAGGCAACAGCAATGGGGGGGGGGTGGGCAGCAGTAGGCAATAGCAATGGGGGGTGGGTGGGCAGCAGTAGGCAACAGCAATGGGGGGGGGGGGGGGTGGGTAGCAGTAGGCAACAGCAATGGGGGGGGGGAAGGACAGTAAGCACAATAATAAGGGGGGGGGCAGCAGTAGGCAATAGCAATGGGGGGGGGGCAGCAGTAGGCTATAGTAATAGGGGCGGCAGGAGTAGGCAATGCAATAGGGGCGGGGGGGGGGGAGCAAGGGGGGCAGCAGTCGATAATAACAATGGGGGGGCAGCAGGGGGCAATTGTCCGACAAGGGGCAGCGTGGGTGACGTCATAACCCGAGTCTTTTTTTTAAGGGGGGAGAAATGACGCAATCAGCTGCAACAACAACAACAAACAGCAAAAGTGATTTGAGAATTTAAATAATAAAGAATAAAACATAATCAAATAATTCTCACGACGTTTCGGCCACAACGCAAGTAGCCGTCCTCAGGTGGAGAACAGGTCTGTCGAGGAGACAGTCTGTCTCCTCGACAGACTTTACCGAAAGAACCAAGAAGATTAATCCCTGCAGTCACGAAAGCTTTAAATCGAAATTTAAGTGATTTGAGAAGTTTAAAAACGAACTTGGGTGATTGCGTCACGCGCTGCGTTGTTGGCGGTGCACGCACAAGCACAATTAACAATTAGCGAAACGAGTTACTCAACAGACGCGTCAATAATAGCGCTGCGTTTTAAACAATGTCCCTTCAAATTTCGATTTAAAGCTTTCGTGACTGCAGGGATTCATCTTCTTGGTTCTTTCGGTAAAGTCACGTAGAAGGGAAATAATAAAAAAATAAAACATAATAAAATAATTCTCACGACGTTTCGGCCACAACGCAAGCAGCCGTCCTCAGGTGAAGAACAGGTCTGTCGGAAAGACAGCGTCTGAATGAACACCACCAATGTCCCTTCAAACTCGCGCCACATTAAGAAGTGCTTTGAAGATGGGACACTGCCCGAAACGTCGATTATTGTTTCCTCCCCCTCCCCCCTTTAAAGGTCGCAGTGCTATTGCCGTGACGTCATGCGTGCGCGTGTACTGCAAATTGTTCTGTGACTGTTACGTCATCGTACGTTTCTCGTTTGATTACGTCATTTATTTTACAGATTCTGTAACTGAGATGTGACGTCGTGCAAACGCACGCGTATCTAAGGAGACGTCATCAGTTTCAAAGAAAAGTGAGATGGTGATGTCATGTCAGCATCATTGTCTGGTCCCATTGTTTACATTTAACCTGTACCTGAGATGTGACGTCATGCAAGAACACGTGTGCAAACCGATCTGTTTACAAATGCTATCTTATACATTAGATATGACGTCATTCTTTAGCGCACAAGTAGTGCAATGACGTCACGGATGTATTTGGGATGAGCGAGCACGCGCATGGAGCACATGACGTAATCCGCGAAGAAATAACCGGCCAAATATCAGAATGTTCTAGATTTGAAGCTTTCGTGACTGCAAGGATTCATACTCTTAGGTTTTTTCGGTAAAGTCACGTAGGTAAAAATAAAAAATAAAAATAATAGAAATGATAATAGAAATAAAATAATAAATCACGACGTTTCGGAGGCAACACAAGCTTCCTTCATCAGGTGTAAAAAGGCACAGCTAAATACCTACAGTTATTTTGCTCTATTATTATTTCGATTATTTTTTATTATTTATTTTTATTTTTACCTACGTGACTTTTACCGCTTACGACCGTGCAAATCTTTCGGTCGTTTTTTACCCACTTCCCGTGATCCAATCGAGCTGACATTTTGCACACAGACTCGTTGTGCGTGACAATTAATTTTCGTGAATTTTTTTTCTTCAAAATTTTACACTGTTTAGGAACAAAAAATTATATGTAATTACCAATTGCTTAATGGTGCCAATCAATCATCTGACACATAGGTGGCAGCCATCTCAAGCCAGAGGACTCTAGCCGCCACGCATATAAAGGATTTAGAGTGAAAAACTTTGTTTTTACAGGTTAATTTTGTATGCTATCGGCATACCCCATTTTCATTGATTTTACCCGAAATTACCTCTGTCACTTATGATTGCAAGTTGTTGCGAGTCAGTGACTGCTTTAGTGTTAAAATATGGTGCTTTATTTTTTAGGATAGTGTGTTTATAATATAATTTTACGTAGATATCCACATTTATTTAATATTTTTCTTCTGCAGTTTTTATTGAAAATGAAATATTTGATATCTCAAAAATGTGATAGACAAAAACTGATGTCAGATTTGGAATCAGCACCACAAATTACCTTAAAAGCGTTGGAATACCTTATGCCAGAAAAAGTGTGTTGACCAGTGTTACCGTCACTTTCTGTAAAGGAACGTCATTTGAAGCGACTTTGCCGAATAAACTATTAAATGCCCTTCGACCTTCCTCTGCGTTCGTGTAAAAATCCACCCACTCATGAATATTAATGAGGGGGGGGGGTGCCTCATGCGGAGTGACGTCACGCGGGGGGGCCTCATGTGGAATGACGTCACGCGGAGAGTACTCGTGTGGAGTGACGTCACGCAGAGGTGGGCCTCATGTGGAGTGACGTCACGCAGGGGTGGGCCTCATGTGGAGTGACGTCACGTGGGGGTGGGCCTCGTGTGGAGTGACGTCACGCGCGGGACACATTCTTGGCTTTTATTTTTTCGGTAATGGCACGTATGTGGAAATAAAATAAAATTTTAATAAATTAAATTAAAACACGACTTTTCTTATTATAGTAGTTAAATAGCGGCTACACCAGTGACTATTCAACTTCTAAAGGGAATTTTTTTGCAGGTTAATTATTTTAATGCGTAAAGTTAAATTAAGGTTCCCCATCAAACAAGTTAAATAGTTAATATTAATGAACGTATGAAACATTGTATTAATATAATGACGTAAATAGCGACTGGAACGGTGACCAATCACAGAGTTTCCCTTCGGTAACTCGCGCGCCGCAGTTGCCATGGTAACGGTCGAATTTGGCGGCAAAGTTGAAAGTAAAATAAAGTTAAAAGTGAAAAGTTTTAACGGAGACAAAACGCACAAACACCAGGAACTCGGTGAGAATCAAACGCTCAATTATAACAACAACAACATTGCTAGAGGTATCTTGTTCGCTGCGTTGATTAAGTGCGATGTGTAAACTTTGAATGCGTTCTGATCGCTGGTAAAGTAAAAACAACGCCGCACTAGGCCTTGGTTTGGGCCTAGCGAAGGCTTCGCTGATTACAGCGTAAACACTCTATAAACGTGTTAATTGCTTACATGTTGTCGTTTATTGTACGTATGCAGACCAATCGATGCCACAGCAGCTTGTGTTAAAACTAATGAATGCGTCCGCGTTGATAAACGTTAGTTTTTAGTATGTCGGCGATAGCGTGGGCTTTTAAACGGGATAGCAGAGTTGCGGTGATAACGTTTAATAAATGTACGAACATACACACAGCAGCTGGTGTTTATACCGCTAACGCGATGTGTGTTGCTTCAGTGTTTAAGTACTGTATAGTTTTCAAGTACCGTATAGGCTTATAGCCAAGTGGCTGATTGAAGTAAGCGGTTTAAGTTATTTTCTTCAATGCGACTTGTGTTTGACCCCATTCGATGTATTTCATAAAGCGATGTTCTTTACACGACACAAGTAAATTTCGATTTAAAGTTTTCGTGACTGCAGGGAATCATCTTCTTGGTTCTTTCGGTAATATATATATATATGCTTCAAGCATATATATATATATGCTCCTGAGGACGGCTGCTTGCGTTGTGGCGGACATATGCCGGAGTGAGACGTTTACTGACTGATCATGAAGGAAGGACGACTTTGGGAGACCTGTTTCATGCTGTACTTTTAGTAATGGGACCCTTTTGCTAAGCACGTAATCAAACGCAGACGTTATCAAAGCATATTTGCGTTTTTTTTACCACAAGTATGTGTGGTAGCGCAGATATGATACCTTGTAATTGGTGTCTACTTGGTATTTGAATATCTTAACAGCTGACTTGAAACTTTCGTGACTGCAGGAATTCATATTCTATGGTTCTTTCGGTAAAGCCACGTAGACGGGAAAATTATAATCAAATAATACAAATGAAAATAAAGTGAATACAAAATAATAAAAACATCACGACGTTTCGATCGCAACACAAGCGGTCGATGACCACCGCTTGTGTTGCGCTGGAAACGTGATTTTTGTTCACTTTATTTTAATTATTTTGTTGTGATTATTTTTTCTATCTTGTGACTTTATCTAAAGAACCATATAATGCCTTTACAGCTGTATAGTATTTACAGCAGATCGTGGTAAATCCTTGTTTTGTCATTAAATTCTGCCCCTTTTATTTATTCTACTTTTGTAATGACCCACGTCACTCGTGCAAATTGAGACTATCCCTGGTCTCTTGGGTTCTTAACTGGTTAAACAAATACACTTAACTTCAACTTCATCAAGCAGTGGATAAAAGACCGTGGTTGATGAGAATGATTGTTCATAATATAGGTTTTTGGGTCAGATCGCGTTATTTATAAATGTGTCGTAACCCTCCACCACCCGACACGGCCAAACAGTAAAAAAATGCGTCACGTTTTCAAAGGACAAAATAATTCACTTTATATTAAAATCGACACATTTATAAATAACGCGATCTGACCCAAAAACCTATATTATGAATAATATTGGTCGCGAAAGCCTACGTGTTAAATTGATAATGATTGTATTTTGATCACGGTTGTAATTGCAGCAAAAGTGAGTTGAGCCATCCTGCGTTTTTCTGGAGCTGTCGACCCTCAAATCACAGCAATGGAGGTGGGAACCAAGGACTTGAAGGACGCTCTTCCAAGACACCATCCCATTGTGCACGTGGAGGTCATCCAGAAATCCGACAGGTACAAAAACAAAGACCCCCCCCCCCCGTATAGCCATAACAGACTGTTGGGCAAGTCATTTTAGCCAGTACCTATGACGGCCGGCACAGCAACGAGGGTGTGGGTTTCCAACACCACTCACCGGCCGCCTTTGTTTCCCCAGTGTTGATGTTTACACACAGCACCAGGTACTCATTTGAGGTTGAGTTGACCTAGGGGAGGCCCGTGACCGGTCCAGATGTCCATCACTGGTGTTGGCCGTGAGCGGTAATCGAACTCGGGTGGCCGGGTTCGTAGCGCAGCGCGCTAAACTGCTACACCACACGCACACACGTACATAAAGCACTCGACGTGAGGTTTTGAGTCCTGGTATCTCCGCTGATATTTACGCCTCGATTATATCGACAGCACGGCAAAGATGGAGGTCGTGGTGTCACACGTGATGGAGCTGCTGAAGAGGCACCCGCTGGTGCTGTCTGACATGTCTTGGGACTCGTTTGAAGACAGCTTCCTCCAAACCCACGTCCGGTCGGTGTCCATCACGGACTTGGACCTGGAGTTCAATGACCAACAGGTCACACTTTTTCCCTTCTGTCTTCTTTCTTGTTGTGTTTTTTTATTCTTATCTTTTGTCATATACGATCCAGTCATGGTTCGGGATGGGGACAAGGTGACGCACGGGGGTCAGGTGAGGGCCACTGTTTTCAAATCATTCCGAGTATTTTTTGTTTGTTTCAAGTCGGAGGGATTTTCTGCTCAAGTGAACATTGAGGCATTGGTGCGCGCAACCGTTTACGGGCCTGAGCCCGTGTGTGGAAATTTCACAGTCTTGTGACAAGGGGGGCAAATCGCCCAGAATGCAGCTGATAATTGTTTGTTAACCAAATTACTGGATACACTTAACTTGGGTTATCTGTGTGCAGATTATCTGGGTTATGGATAAACCTGGCTTGTTACAAAAGGAAGATAAATACAAAAGTGTGTACGACGTTCATTTGTGTATTTTATGCACGTGCTGCTTCTATCACTTGCTGCTTCTAACTCGTGACTCGTTGACCGATGATTTTAAGAAACAAAAATAACAGACAACACTTTCTACGTCTTCTCCACCATCCTACGTACATAATACGATTTTAAAACCTAATTCACATTCATTATGTACGTTTTTGCAGCCACTTTGCAATCCAAATGCGCTTTCCTGGGTTGGACATTTCTCCTCTCATGCTTTCGCCACACACTACCGTGGGCATCTTCAGGAGTTGTCTTGGCTCCTGAAGATGTTCTGCTTCATCAACGTTTTTGCTTTACCTAGGTCATGCTATCTCCGCCTCCCCCAGATCATATAGAGTCCACTGTGTGTTTACCCGCCTCCTCCCACCCCCCCCCCCCCCCCCGTGTGCGCGCTATGCAGATGGTGGAGCTACTGCAAACACCTGTGGAGGTGCACGTGATCCAGCTGAATGACGAGGGGCCATCCATGGAGGAGCTGAACCAGGGTGACGAGAATCTCCCTGCAGCCCACCACTGGATCCTGCCTTCAAGTACACACCCTGACCCTAACACAGTGACGCTAGCCCAGACACTAACCTTTACACTGTAAGGTTAACACCCCCACCGCAACACTAGCCATGGGATTATTGCACTAACATGTAAACGGACGATAATCCAACATTGACCAGCAGTGGATTTTGCCAAGAAGGATGTGCTTACTTTTTAGTTATTTCGGTAAAGTCACGTAGAAAGAACCAAAAAGTATGATAATTGTTTTTTTACCCTTCTATCTGGCAACAAAACTGACACCTTTTTTACAAGGAGTCATGTTTGCATAGACCACAATACCTGCAGTCGTAATGCAAACAAAAAACATAACTCTGATAATGTATGCACTGTTCTTGAAGTTGATTGGTCCACACCCGAGACAGCTTTCTTTAGAGCCTAGTCTCACATGGTGCTGGACCAGATGACGCTAAAAGGCGCACAACTCAAAGACAGTGCACCATCAGAGTATGAGAGCTCGGGGTAAGCATTTACACCATTGGAACCTCATTTGCCAGTAAAAAATATGATAATTGTTCTTTTACCCTTATATCTGGCAACAAAACTGACACCTTTTTTACAAGGAGTCATGTTTGCATAGACCACAATACCTGCAGCCATAAGGTTCCAATGGTGAACCAAAAAGTAATTCCTGCAGTCACGAAAGCTCCAAATCAAGGATGTGCTTGTACATGTACCAGGCAGGTGGGTTCACGTCACGTGTTTTTGTTGTTGTGTAGCCGAATTCCATGGACTTTGGGAAAGTCTGGTCTACGATTCCGAGATCAAACTGCAGGTGAGCGAACGTTGCACTCTCGACACAAAATTGCAGAGAGTCTTCTTTTTTTAAACAGTTACGAAAAAAGTGATTGTTAAACCACAACTTGCCCTTTCGTCACAGCTGCTCAATTACGTGATGACGACACTGCTGTTCTCGGACAAGAACGTGAACAGCAACGTCATCTCCTGGAATCGCGTGGTCCTCCTGCACGGTTCGTTTTTGGCATTCGTTTTTTTTCTAACCAACGTTGAAAGCGTTAATTCATTAGCTCTGTCCGTCTGTCTGTAATGGGGGGGGGAGGGTCAGCATAGCTTTCGTAACGATCCAATATAAACGATATTTGAGTATAAAGTTACGTTGCTATTGCTAATTACTTATAACGTCGGTTTGTAATGTAACGTTATAACCGATTAAATACTTCTGAGACAAACGGATTATGGAAAGCATTACAGAATTAAATCCTTGTCTTTTTAAAATCAGGATCGGGCATGGAATTGTGTGCCCTCCGATGCAGGAAAGCGGTGTGATGCCCCAATATTATTACTCGAGCATTCTCGGCCGTAACTTTAAATGTTTACATTTGAAACTGATCAAAGCTAAGAATGTTAATGCTGAGATCTGATAGGTCACACATCTTGTTTTCTTGTCTGTCCGTTTCATCTATGCTAAGTCCGCTATTTACCTTAAGGATGCGTCCCTGAAAAATCCGACTTTAGGCGAAACAACCTAAATGGAAATCAATTTCACCACTGACTTAAATAAGTAAGTTAAGGATACGTTCCTGGGGGTTATCTTTTTTGGTCAAAATTTCAGAAAAATTTGCAAAAACATAACCAAAGAGATACCCCAAATGTTTTAATTAATAATATACGTTAATACAGAGTACTCACCAGAGATGGTGGCTGAGATTGCATTTGGAGGCCTGGCGTAGACTGAAGGGGAGTTTAGTTACAGTGCCAAGCAGTTGTAGACACTGAGGCATGATCACCCGCCCAGGGGCGCCATGGCGTCGTGCGTCGTAACGTATACAGCCCAAGCTATTACGTTCTTTCCTTTCAAATTTTCAAGACAGCTTTGTAGTAAATGGAGGCATTTTAAATCAAATTGCGTGCCATAATTCGTTGGCGATGTGATAGTGAAAAATAGTAAATAGGAGCGAGGACTTGATGCAAAATGATTTTCCCCGTCTTGTGCTGTTACAGGACCTCCGGGCACGGGAAAGACGTCCCTGTGTAAAGCCCTGGCACAGAAGCTCTGTATAAGGCTGTCGAAAAGGTAAGATTCTCCCATAAGGCCGTGCCCTTAATCTCACCTGAGCATTTGTTTTATGTCATCCTTATCCCGCACCTCCGCTTAGCACGGGTGGCTATGTACCGTGCGTGAGAAGTTCAACCATACCTTCGTTCATAGATGAACAGTGATTCACTTCCACCCCCAACACTTGGATGGATCCCACAATGAAAGGTCACTATGTAATGTTTTGCCAACACGTACTGACGAGCGTGGTCACGTCTGGTGACGCCACTACGAGCAACATGGCGGGCACAAGTGGCCTTCGTTTAGCAGTGGATTGAAAAGAGCTGTAAATTATTTTTGATGCAACTTTATCCAATTATCGCATTGTTATTTTTCGTCTCATTTGTACTGTCTTGTCTGCAATTTTTATTCGTCTCCTTCGTTACATCTCATTCTACCGAGCTCGCCTGTCGTGTTTTGATTTGTCTCGTTGTTACTACACATTCTGTCTCGCTCACTACATATCATTGCATCTTATTTATTATCTCATTTGTTCTGAACGTTAGCGAGCTTTGTTGCATGTATTGCGAGTGTATGAATCAGTTTTAATTCCCTGCTTTGTCCTCCAGGTATCGATACGGGCAGCTGATTGAGATTAACAGCCACAGCCTCTTCTCTAAATGGTTCTCGGAGGTGAGTGTCTCATCGCCTGTTGCACGATGAATTGTTTTTTGGGACGTCTCTCCTCATCCCTGTATTCCTTTTCTAGTAAAATGCTGCGAGGTGGCATCACATGTAGTAATGTCATTGGCAGAAGAGGGCAGACCCTCGCTTATTTTTAGTGTTGGGTTAACGCTTTTAACGCTGGCTCTTTGTCTCCAAGTTTTGAACCGCACAATCCATTTGGCCAGTTTTATCTTGGGTACGTCCCTTGTAGCGACGCATTTTATCCTCAAGCTTTGTTCATATTGGATCACCTTTGCAAGAGTTGGTGCCCCACTGTCACAGACAACTTCGGTTGAAAATGTAAACACCTGTGTGCGTCTTTAACCGTTAGCGGGCGAGTAATTGTGTGTTACTGCTGCGTTGCCGTTTCGCAGAGTGGCAAGTTGGTGATGAAGATGTTTCAGAAGATCCAGGAGAGCATCGACGACCAGGAGGCCCTTGTCTGCGTGCTCATTGATGAGGTTTGTTGGCAGTACAGGATACATTTATGCTGCAGTAGCAACTTGCTTATGTCTTCTTGGTTCTTTCGGTAAAGTCACGTAGAAGGGAAATAATAAAATAATAAAAATAAAACATAAAATAATTCTCACGACGTTTAGCTCATCGGATTCCTTCAGCGTCTGACGCTGTCTTTCCAACAGACCTGTTCTTCAGCGTCATTGAGACGCTGTCTTTCCGACAGACCTGTTCTTCACCTGAGGACGGCTGCTTGCGTTGTGGCCGAAACGTCGTCAGAATTATTTTATTATGTAACATTTTTATTATTTTATTATTTCCTTCTCTTCTACGTGACTTTACCGAAAGAACCAAGAAGATGAATCCCTGCAGTCACGAAAGCTTTAAATCGAAATTTAACTTGCTTATGGACAAGATCACGTCACCCCGATCCCCAGATGCCTCTGTTGGCTCCCAATTCAATTGCACATCAACTGCAATAGGGTTCTTCAACTCGTGGCCTGCTGACCACCAGTTGTGGGCCTCAAAGGCTCTTTGAGTGGCCCACTAGGCTATGGCACACCAAAAGGTATGGTTTATAGAAATAAACAATTTGCGTGTGGTCAGATTATTTTGCTGCTATAAATGTCCACGTGATAAGCCACTTGGTTGAGCCGTCATTTGTGGCCAGGTCGCTTCTGAAAATTAAGTTAATACTTCAGTGGGCTTTAGCTGGTAAGATACAAAATAGTTTCGTTTGATTTGTATATCTTTAAGTGATTTTTTTACATTTTCTGTACTCGGCACTCCTGTCGTGTTCTTGTATTGTTTGTTGTTTGAACGTTCTGACTTGCCCCGACTGGATATCTGTGAAAAAAGAGCTTCATAGCTCATCGGATTCCTTCAGTATAATATTCTGGTTCTTACACGTATAATGAAACGTCTACAAAGCACAAGTAAAAAGGGTGGAACGGAAGGGACCGAGCAAGGGAAGGAAAGAAAAGAAGCCACAAAGGGGTTCCGAAGGCACAAGGTTGAAATGGGAGGTTTTTACAGGAGACTTGAAAGCGGAGAGAGAAGACCAGGCAGAGTTGACCAGGGAAAGGAGTTCCAGAGAGTGGGGGCTTCGTAGCTAAAAGAGATGCAGTGTCACGAGAAGGATAAACATGGGAGATGGAGATGAGAGAGCTGTTGACGAGGATTGCAGATTCACGAGATGAAGCAAACTCCGGCCATCTCGATTACTGCCCCTCTTAACATCACGAATAGCTCGTGGCAGAATTGATCTTTTTTTTTTAAATGTGTTATGGGTTCGTGTCAACCCCACAGCCACTCAAGCAGGGGTTGGCAACCAAAGTAACAAGAAGAGCAATTTCTTTCGAATTTTGTAATAAACTCAATACAGTAAAACCTTGGATTGCGAGCATAATTCGTTCCGGAAACGTGCTTGTAATCCAAAGCACTCGTATATCAAAGCGAATTTCCCCTTAGGAAATCATGGAAACTCAGACGATTAGTTCCACAACCCAAAAATATTCATGTAAAAATGATTAATACAAAATAACTTTTTTTATATTTTTATTATTGAAATTTTATATAAAGTAATCAAATGTATTAATTACATTTAATCGTGGCTGGTGTGAGGGAGACGAGAGAGAGGAGGAGGGGGCCATTGTTGCAGTACAGTTACTAAAGAACAGTCACTACACTTGGACACAAAATAACAAAAATGCTTCTACGCACACACACACGTGGTCACAACACTACAGTAAACAGTCTACGCTCGCACGGATGTTGACTATACGAGTGAGGCACGCCGACTGAGACCGAGCATGGGAGACGATTACCCACAATCCCGCAGCGAGAGAGAGAATAACCATCGGCCCAGTTGTGATCACGTGACGCTGGCCAGACAAAACGTATACGTACAACTCGTATTGCAAGACCTCGCTCGTTTATCAAGTTAAAATTAATCAAAAAATGTTGCTCGTCTTGCAAAACACTCGCAGACCAAGTTACTCGCAATCCAAGGTTTTACTGTATTTCAATAGCTGCAATGCACGTGGACACGAGACGGTGGTCCTTGATAACTAACGTCACGAAGCAGTCCTTACGGAGCCGCCGCGTGTTGCCGAACCCCTGTGCCAGAGGCACTCTCAGTCCCCCAAACGAACTTTCCCGCTGCGTTTGCGCTGAAGGTGGAGAGCTTGACGGCGTCGCGCTCCGCGTCGCACTCGGGAACGGAGCCGTCGGACGCAATCCGCGTGGTGAACGCGCTCCTCACCCAGATCGACCAGATCAAGCGGTGAGACAGAATCGAGCGGTACACACACTGGGAACAGTCAACAGTGAAAATGGCTTCTTTAGAATCACTCTGGTTCTTTCGGCTTCTTTAGAATCACTCTCTGGTTCTTTAGAATCGTCATCAGCAGCAGCATCATTATCAGTGCAATTAGCAACATCAACATCACCAATATTGGCAACAATAGCAGCAGCAGCATAATTTTCACGATGAACAGCAGCAGCATAAGTGCGTCTTTGGATGTGCCTGTCTCGGTGTGTGTCTAAGTGCATGCACTTGACCCAACAGCCTGTGTAGGCTATACGGGGGATTTTTGTCTTGGTTGTATTTTATCGTCTAAGTTTGTGTGTATGCCAGAGTGTGCCGTGCCAGCCTTAATAGGTGCGTGCTCACCGTACTTGCCCCAAAAATTGTGGAGGCTACACGCTACACGAGGGATCTTTTGCCTTTTGTGTGCGGCTAGGTACTCCAATGTGATCATCCTGACAACGTCAAACATCACGGGGAAAATCGACGCAGCCTTCGTCGATCGTGCCGACATCAAGCAGTACATCGGGCCCCCCTCGGTCTTGGCCATCTACCAGATCTTCCTGTCTTGCCTCGTGGAGCTCATGAAGGTACGAGCAGCCAGCATCGTGCACCCGAGTGCAATCGTCACCCTAAATCTGCTTAATGCTTCCGCAACTGAATTGTCCGATGGAAAGCTTTTTTTGAAAGTTGTCTGAAAAAAAAAACTTCCGTTACAGGAGATGCATTTTCTTTAACGTCGGTTGATATTCACGCGGGTTTGTGTTCTGATTTCTCTTTGCTTGATGGTTCTACTGAATATGTACATATTGCTATTGTTGGTCAGCCTAGCAAGAAAGCACGACTCCCATCATGCCATGCATACATGTCATGCATACATGTCATGTGACCATCACATTGCACGTACAATGCTCTTGGCCATGTCTTGACCACCAACTGAAAAGATGGCCGAGAACGTGGTTATTATTTAGACCACTAACACAGAAAGAGTTGAAAGTGTGGCCGTCTCAAGCAGCAGTGATACAGAACTGAAAATTGGTTTTGTCCCCATTAGGACTCATCAGTGCAGTAGAGTAATTTAAGTTCAATGCCGTTACCTTGCACGCCCGCAAGCATCATCAGCAGTTGCTCAGATGAAACTGCGATTAGCGGAGACTCTTCCATCGGGGTCAGAAGGACCACGGGAAATCTGGCGATGCCTGAACCGCTTCCGTGCGGGTGTCGGCTGCTACAAAGCACATCTCGGTAACGTGGCAGCCATCTTGACCAAGCCCAGAACACGACCTGCATCTGCGCTAAAGAGCAGACGATGCAGACGATGCTTCGCCCATCTTCTGCAGTGTCGTTTGCTGGAGGAGCCACGGCTGATGATTCAAGCCCCATTACTCACCTTGCGTGGACATGTGCCGCCACCCACACGCGCTTGTCAGCGACATAACCTGGGTGCGATGGACACAAAATGAGCGGATGTCTGCTGTTGCCTCGAATAATCGAGAGTTGACTGTCGATGAATAAGCTGACCGGATCGAGGCTTGATCATGTGTGAGAGTGCAGAAGGGCATCATCCGTACACACCAACTGCTGAGCTTCCGGCAGCTGGAGATGATGAAATTTGCCGAAACAGACATGTCGCAGCCCAGCCTGTACCTCCACACCATCGCTAAGTGAGTTCAGCTCGCACCTCCTCCCAAGTCCTCAATTTGGGGGTGGCTAAGCATGCATAGGACATACTCTTAGTTCTTTCGGTAAAGTTACGTAGGTAAAAAATGAAATAAAAATTAATTAAAAATAAAAACAATAAAATCACGACGTTTCGGAGGCAACACAAGCTTCCGTCTTCAGGTGAAACTGACGGAAGCTTGTGTTGCCTCCGAAACGTCGTGATTTTACTTTTTTATTTTTAATTAATTTAATTTTTTACCTACGTGACTTTACCGAAAGAACTTAGAGTATGAATCCTTGCAGTCACGAAAGCTTCAAATCTAGAATGCATAGGACACACAGTGTAACCAAGGCCCCACCCCGCAGTGACAGCTGGCCCTGTGTAGCACAAGATGTACGCAGGACTGGCCTGTAAATACACATTAGTCTTTCAGTAGGAAGCAATTTTATTTTGCCGTTGTTCCTAATTCGGACGTTTGGCGAAATAAGGTAAAATTTCGCACATTTGGACCATTACCCCAGTATACAAGGCCTATTCTTTTTAAAAATGACATCACGCGATGTCTAACAGATTGTGAAAGACAGCTACGTATCTTTTGCTAATAGACGGGCAGTAATGAGCAGAACGGCCGCTGGGCTCAAAACACGATCCTCTGCAGTACGCGTTAAACACGCTACCACCACCACGCAGCTATGAGGTTCTTTTAGATGAACTGAAGTCCGTTGATTAGGCATGTAACGATGCGTCGATTAATCAGTTCTGATGATCGTGATAGGGGGAGGGTGTCTCAATACGGAAAGAGACATGTAATGAAAAGTCCATGTCGCTGTGATGAAACTGTTTGCGTTGTTTTTTATTTTCCTTCGTCAAACGGCAAAATGAAGAAAGAGCGAGGGCCTGAGTGGAAGGGTCCTGCGGAAACTCCCCTTCATCGCCCACGCGCTCTACGTTAAGGTTCGGAGCTTGATCGCACATCTTCTGCGCTAATTTCACACACACAGATCACACGCCCTTGGCTATGGCTCGCGCCAACGGGCACGTTTCATACGGCGTGTCCTCAGAATAACGCGGGCAGATGCACCGTCTCGTGCACAATAGGTTTCGTGGGACATATTCGGGAGATGAAAGTCGTAATTGCGAAGCTCAGTTTGATACTGGACAGGATTGCACATTGAAGTTTTCGCTTGTGATTTTCAGGAATTTTTTTGTTTTTTTTACCTTCATTGCATTTTATACGATGCAAAAAGAATCTAAAAACGCGACAAGCAGTGTAATTGGGGTGAATGACACTTTCTAGGGATGTGGTCGTCCTATGATGGATAGACTTGTATCCCGCCCCTCCCCCCCGCCAGAGGAATTTCCGCCACTGCCTCAGGTGATGAGCACCACCTCAATGCTCATCTAAGCAATAATTCGGTGACTTTGGTTTGTAAATAGTGTCAATGTAAAGTGTCAATTTTGTTCAGAAAAATACAACTTTTTATTTATTTTACCAGGTAAAGCCCACCGAGCTCTTCGGCTCTTTTTCATGAGCGACCTGGCCACAAATGGTAGCCCAACCAAGTGGCTCGTCATCACGTGGAAATTTTACGGCAGGCGAATACTCTAAGCGCGTGTTTCTAAATGCGGAGAGTATTAAAACTGGTGGACTCGGAGAAAAATCCACGTAGAAAAGGGGGCAACCCACCATGCAAACTGGCCTGGTATTTTGAGGGCGCACTGCAGTTTGAAGGGGGTTAAAACGCTGAAACACTTGACATGTCTTGAAAACAACTCGATTGTCCCTGCAGGAATCCACTACGACACTGTCATGCTTCCTGGAGGCGTTGTCGCAGGCCGTCGATCGTCAGTTCACCGAGCGCGCCAATCTCGCCTAGCGGACTCGGAATTCCGGCCACAAATTACGGGAACCGTGAATGACACTTGCCGCATTTGGGAGGTAGCTGCGGGGGGTGTCCAGTTACCACGTGAAGACGTCTTGTTTTTTTCTCGTGTTGTCATTTAAAATCTGTAACAATGTTATTAATTTAATCTTTTATTTTTTCTTTAAGGGTTTGTCCAGTGCAATAATGGACATTTGTTTAAATGCTTTTATAAAATGCAATTAAAACTTGTGCACCAAAGTTTAGGTGTCCGATTGCTTAAGTTTACCTTCAGTCTTGATTTGAAGCCTTCGTGAATGGAGGAATCCATACTCTTTGGTTCTTTCGGTAAAGTCACGTAGAGTAGAAAATAAATCACGACGTTTCGGGTGCAACTCAAGCGTCCATCATGCCGAGGCAGCAGGCCAAGCTTTCCCACCTGATGATGGATGCTTGTGTTGTGCCCGAAACGTCGTGATTGATTTTATTTTATACCTATGTGATTTTACCGAAAGAACCAAAGAGTTTGTGTTTACCTTCAGTGTTCACGATGATGGCTTGTGTAATGGACAAGCTTTGCGATGTTGGTTGCACAACTTTATACTTGAGATGTCCTTTATTGGTATCATTCACGTCAATCCACCGCTAGATGAAGGCCTCCCCACATCAACATCCCTTGTGGTGTTAAGATTTCATAAATCATCGTGCTCCTGCACGCGAGCTAAACTCACTCTATTTTCTGTGGTCTCCCTCTTTGAGTGCGTCAACTCCTCTCTTGCTGCCATTGGCACCAGTTGTCCACTAACCAACAATCCCCCCTTATGATGACGTCTTCAACCCAAATAAGTCTTTAATTTGCAACTGTCTTACCCATGTGTTCCTCTGTATCTTGGTGTAATTCCCAACATGTTGCACAATTTTTTTTTGCTTTGTACAATTTTCAGTTTGTTACATTTTCCTTGTTGTCATAGCAAATAACACATATCAAGATGCAACTATTACTGGTAGGAACCTCCTGGTTACACCAGCCCACAGGGGATTATTGTGTCCGTCCGTCCTGCATCAAAAAATGGGTGGGGCTGGGTGGGGAGGGTTGAGAGGGGCTGGGTGGGGGGTGGGAGGGGTGGGGCTGGGTGGGGAGGGGCTGGTCACCCCGTGGTGCCCTTATAAAACTCAACGTTAAACCTACTCACGCTGGCTTGTGCCCGCCCTCAGTCGGGCATATTTGCGGAATACACGACGCCGCCGTTGACCCTGCAGGCCATTGACCGAGCAACCCAACGTTCCTACCAGCTCCCTCCGCAGAAATGTGTAATTTGCAACTGTCTTACCCATGTGTTCCTCTGTATCTTGGTGTAATTCCCAGCATGTTGCCTTGCTTTGCACAATTTCCAGTTTGTTACATTTTCCTTGTTGTCTACATCATAGAAAATAACACATATCAAGATGCAACTATTTTATGGTGGCTCCATTTTGTGACTTGTACTATAGCAATTTACTTAATGTGATCGTGTTGCATGCAGACACCATCACATGGCAGGTCATGTGACCACCGTGTACCTCATTTCCAGGTGTCTATTCCTTATTTCGCTTTCATCCCACTCGTCTGTATTTGTGAGCCACATCTCTCGAAAGGCCATGGGGCTCGACGGGCCAGACGTGGCCCATGGGTCCCCTGTGCGCTATGCAGCAGCAGGTAACATGCACCCCGATGCTCACAGCACATTGGGATAACCACTGCACCAGTATGGTCATTCTAGATTTGAAGCTTTCGTGACTGAAAGGATTCATACTCTTAGGTTTTTTCGGTAAAGTCACGGAGGTAAAAAATAATATAAATAATAATAGCCCTGCCCCCCCCCCACCGTGCCATTTCCTGGCTACCACATTCAAATAAGCCCCCCCCTCCCCTAAACTTGTATTTAAGAGCTTGTCTCTTGGATTTTTCCTCACTTGATACAGTAAATCTAGCTGTGACGGTCCCACCTGATGACGGAGACTTGTGTTGCCTCCGAAACGTCGTGATTTATTATTTTATTAATTCAATAAATGCTTATTTATTTAGTTATTCCCTATGTGACTTTACCGAAAAAACCTAAGAGTACCAGTATGGTCACTTACCACCTTCCATTGATGGGCACAACGAACAAAAAAAACCTTCCAAATTTCACGTTTGCTCACATACAACACGTGGACACTATCTGGTAAACGAACCATTATTGGACTGGAGACATAACTGAAAGATAACTTGACTCGGTGAAGAAGCGAGGAGAAAAGCCGATAATCGTACATGCGAATGTAAAACATTTTAATTGAAGCGTTAAAGCATCGTTGCACGGCCTCGCGATTATTTACAAGCAGGCTGGCGTACAGCGATCACGAATGACGGGCGTGGCGGCGGCGGTGTTAAGACTCGGGCAGTGGCTCCGTCACCACTTGCGCTGCTTGTGACGCGGGTGCGTCTTGCAGACGACGCACTTGTGCCCGCGCCGCCGCACGAAGTAGCAGTCTTTGCAGCGCAGGCGGAGCACGCAGCGCATCTTGAAGCCGGCGACCGGCTGCATGAACGCGGGCGAGGAGCATGCCAGGGGCGCCAGCAGCGGCGGAGGAAATCGAGCCCAAGGAGCCCACGGCGCTGGCGAGCGGAGCGCGGTGCTGGCGGCCATGCCGAGGGAGGGCACGAGGCTCCGGAGGGAACGGAAGATCCCCACGTATGCCATGTGGCTGTGGTCTGCGGAAACAAAACAACGTTTTCATGAAATCTCTAAAAGCTACACAGGCTCATCCTTCCCCCCGGCACCTCCGATTAAGCTCGGTTGGCTACGTACGTTGCGCGAAAGAAGTTCAACAAACGTACAAAAGTACTCGGAGTGGAAGTTCGCCGCTAGCCTTTTGTGGTCTGGAGCAGACACAAAACACCGTTATTGTTTGTTGGTCGCGGAAGCTAGGCAAAGTTGAGATTGGCTCGTACTGTACTTATGTTGAACTTTTTTCACACCGTACGTGGACACAACCGTGCTAAGCGGAGGTGCCGACATTGGCAGTCGTTGGGCACGGAAAATCCACTCCTACGCCGCTTGGCGTCCGCGATTACAACCCACAATGTCAGACCTTAGAATGAAAGCAGGATTTTGAAACCGATTCTCCGCTGGAAGCAGATCCCCCCCCCCCCCACAAACACCAACAGCGATCTGCGGTCACAACCCACTGCAGCCCAAGCTGACAGCACCTGGCACACCAGGGAAGTCTACCATCGAAGTATCTGATTTAGAATATTTATGTTGGAGGAATCCGATGAGCTGGAAAGCTCCTCTTCACAGATGTCTAGTACAATAGGAGTGCGAAGAGCGTAAAGTATAGGAAAGGTAAACAATGAACTACATTTTTTATATTTTACCAAGGCCCGCTGAGCTAATAGCTTTGTCTTTCAGAAGCGGACTGGCCACAAGTGATAGCTCAACGAAGTGGCTTATCACGTGGAAATGTATGTCAGTCACATAAAAAAAAATCCACGCAACCACGGGGATAAAAACGCAAACTCCAAATATACAGCAGCAGGCTTCAGGGTCAAACCCCCGACCTCCTGTACACCAGGTGAGGTAGTTAACATCTCCTAGCCACCGTGATGATGAGAGAGAGACACGCAAACTCCAAATATACAGCAGCAGGCGTCAGGGTCTGGATCGAACCCACGACCTGCAAACCAGGCGAGGTAGTTAACATCTCCTAGCCACCGTGATGATGATGAGAGACACGAAAATCCAAATATACAGCAGCAGGCGTCGGGGTCGAGATCAAACCCACGACCTCTTGCAAACCAGGCGAGGTAGTTAACATCTCTCAGCCACCAGGCACCGGACTTGCTTTGCTTAGCTTTCAAGATCTGAGGAGACCGAGCGGCTGGTGGCTCAGCGGTGGAGCGATCAGGAAGCAATCGGAACGTCTCAGGTTCATATACTGGTCGACGGGTTGACTCAGCCCATCATCATTTCGGTGGTTAATAAAATTAGTACCGCTTTGTGGCGAAGTCAACGTTGGGTTTTTGTTTCTACGGACACGCTCGCCCCCGTCATAGGAATGTGGATTGTTTTACTTCCTACTACTTCCAAGCCTCTGGGGGGCTGTAAACGCGGAGGGGGGGGGGGAAACCTCAAGCGTCGGTGAGTCGCAAGACCGAAAATACAGAAGAAATTCAGTTCAATCGATTCAAGGCCCCAACTTCAAATCGCAACTCGAATCACCGAGAGGCATCGCCTGCAAGTGGGGCTCAGGGACCTTCCTCACTGCGTGAACAATCTCAGGCTTTGTATTCTTGGTTCTTTCGGTAAAGTCACGTAGAAGGGAAATGTTCTTGCTGTGGATTTCACACCTGATGATGATTGCTGCTTGTGTTGCAGTCGAAACGTCGTGAGAATTTTTTATTGTTTTATATTTATATTATTTTATTATTTCCCTTCTACGTGACTTTACCGAAAGAACCAAGAATATGAATCCCTGCAGAGGTCGCAACCGGGTACCCGGCCAGGAACGGGTACCCGGCCAGGAACGGGTACCCGGCCAGCAACGGGTACCCGGCCAGCAACGGGTACCCGGCCAGCAACGGGTACCCGGCCAGCAACGGGTACCCGGCCAGCAACGGGTACCCGGCCAGCAACGGGTACCCGGCCAGCAACGGGTACCCGGCCAGCAACGGGTACCCGGCCAGCAACGGGTACCCGGCCAGCAACGGGTACCCGGCCAGCAACGGGTACCCGGCCAGCAACGGGTACCCGGCCAGCAACGGGTACCCGGCCAGCAACGGGTACCCGGCCAGCAACGGGTACCCGGCCAGCAACGGGTACCCGGCCAGCAACGGGTACCCGGCCAGCAACGGGTACCCGGCCAGCAACGGGTACCCGGCCAGCAACGGGTACCCGGCCAGCAACGGGTACCCGGCCAGCAACGGGTACCCGGCCAGCAACGGGTACCCGGCCAGGAACGGGTACCCGGCCAGGAACGGGTACCCGGCCAGGAACGGGTATCCGGCCAGGAACGGGTACCCGGCCAGGAACGGGTACCCGTTTGCGACCCTGGTGCGGCCGGGTACGGGTAGGCCGTGAGTCACTGGTGAGTCACTGGTGAGTCACTGGTGAGTCACCGTTTGTAACTCATTTCGGGTACGGGTAGGGAACGGGTACCCGGCCGGGTACGGGTACCCATTTGCGACCCTGGTGCGGCCGTGTACGGGTAAGGAATCAAAACCCGTTTGCGACCTCTACTTCACAGATGTCCACGTCGGGGTGGGTAAGGACCAAGGCCGTAATTATGATATTGGGGGGGGGGACGGGACACACCCCCCCCCCTAATATTCAAATATGCTCAAAATGCCCCCCCCTCCAATATATTGCTATAAAATAGATTTCTGTTTATATGATTGTGGTTACGGTTGTACTTTGACATCTAATCTCTGCCATTGCATACAATGAAACAAGAAAAGGTAAAAAATAAAAACAGCAATGTAATACAATACACTATTAGACATTATTGTTAAAAATAAATAAATAAAAAGTCCATCCCATGCGTTAGTGAATTTTTGTTTATATATTTTAGGCAGGAAATTAGTTTTGAAATTTAGATTTTTTTTTCTGGGGGGGGGAGGGGGGGGAGACCCCCTGAAAGATTTGGTCTCCCCCAATGTTGACTCCATAGCTCCAGCCTTGGTGGTAAGAACATTCACAACGGCAAAGACGACCAACACACGATGGTCATGCGACATCCACGGTAAGCGAATCACCCAAACACACACACACAGAGAGAAACACGCCATCCCCGTCCCACCAGGCAAGGCCCCACCGAGCCACGCACTTATTGTTCAAAGCGGCCTTTGCCACAAACAATAGAGTGGCGTTCACATCATTAGGGACGTTAATTTCACAGCATTCAATCAACGACTCGAACAATGCCAACAACTGTTATACTAATTGTTGTTATTGTGACACGTGGCGCTCGCAACCCACCCGGCAATGACCTCGAAGAAACCTACACGGGTCCCGCTCGTCGCAACCGCGTGCGCAGATGACGGCATGTCCCCCTTCCCATCGCAGGTGACGTCATGTCTCCCCCCCGCCCATCGCAGATGACGTCATGTCCGCTCGCCGATGACGTCAACGATTACTCGACGGCCATCTTGGTAGGGGGGGGTTTAAACAAAACTCAATCGGAACCGAGGGGGTGGGGGAGGTGGTGGACGAAACCAACTCCGCGAAAGTTACGGGGGGAGTCACTCGCTGGGACCACCTCGTCTTCGGTGGACGAAACCAACTCCGCGAAACGTTGCGGGGGAGTCACTCGCTGGGACCTCCTCGCCTTAAAGTGGACGAAACCAACTCCGCGAAACGTTGCGGGGGACGTCACTTGCCGGGACCACCTCGTCTTAGGTGGACGAAACCAACTCAGTGAAACGTTGCGGGGGACGTCACTCGCCGGGACCACCTCGTCTTAGGTGGACGAAACCAACTCCGTGAGACGTTGCGGGGGCGTCACTCGCCGGGACCACCTCGTCTTCGGTGGACGAAACCAACTCCGCGAAACGTTGCGGGGGCGTTACTCGCTGAGACCTCCTCGCCTTTAGTTGGACGAAACCAACTCCGCGAAACGTTGCGGGGGACGTCACTCGATGGGACCTACTCGACTTTAGTTGGACGAAACCAACTCCGTGAAACGTTGCGGGGGCGTCACTCGATGGGACCTACTCGACTTTAGTTGGACGAAACCAACTCCGCGAAACGTTGCGGGGGCGTCACTCGCTGGGACCTCCTCGCCTTTAGTTGGACGAAACCAACTCAGCGAAACGTCGCGGTGACGTAACTCGCCGGGACACGCGTGGAGACCCCCCCCCCCGCCCCCATGTAAGATGGCCGACGTTTCAGGCTTCAGGAAGTTGAGTCAAGCTCAGCGTCGTGTGTGTGTGAGTTGGTGTCTGTCTGTCTGTGTCTGTGTGTGACCTTCATTGGTGCTGCTACTCTCCCATCGCAGCACTTGCCCCAACCAACGCACCGTTGAAGAGCTGCGACACGTGGGGTGAGGTGCGTGGGGAGGATCTTCGTGCTTTGTAACCGAAGCAAAAGCCTCTTCTTGAAGGAAGACGTCGACCGATGGCCTCCTGCGCGCTCTCCCGCGTGAGCTGCTTCGCTCTCGCCGCTTCGAGGGCCGCGGCCTCGGCCTCCAGGCCCGGGGGGGTCGGGCCCGTGCTCGGGGCGGGGAGCCTGAGGGGCCTCGTGGCGGGGCCCGGGGTTCAGGATGGGGAGAAGGTGACCCACACGGGACAGGTGAGGTTGTTGTTGTCGTCGTTGTAAAGTGGCGTAGAAGGGAAATAATAAAATATTAAAAATAAAACATAATAATTCTCACGACGTTTCGGCCACAACGCAAGCAGCCGTCCGCAGGTGAAGAATATGTCTTCTCGACAGACCTGGTCTTCACCTGAGGACGGCTGCTTGCGTTGTGGCCGAAACGTCGTGAGAATTGTATTTAATGATGTTTTATTATTTTATTATTTACCTTCTACGTGACGACTTTACCGAAAGAACCAAGAAGATGAATCCCTGCAGTCACGAAAGCTTTAAATCGAAATTGTTGTATTTGTTGTTGTCGTTTCAAGTTGGAAACATCGAGGCATTGGTGGCGCGCGCAACGGGTTTACAGCCCTGAGCCAGTGTGTGGAAATTCCACATTACTGTGACAAGGCCATATATAGTAATAGGTTTTTACCCTTTCAACTGGTACAAAAACTGACACCTTTATACAATGATAATTGTTTTTTACCCTTCCATCTTGCAACAAAACTGACACCTTTTTTACAAGGAGTCATGTTTGCATAGACCACAATACCTGCAGTCATAATGCAAACAAAAAACATAACTCTGATAATGTATGCACTGTCCTTGAAGTTGATTGGTCCACACCCGAGACAACTTACCTTAGAGCCTAGTCTCACATGGGTTGGACCAGATGACGCCAAAAGGCGCAGATGGAAGGGTTAAAAAACAATTATATGTTTTACTGGCAAATGAGGTTCCAATGGTGTAAACCTTTATACAAGGCATCATGTTTGCAATAACCACAACACAAGCAGTCAAAATGCAAACAAAAGGAAACAACTCTGATAATGATAATATGCACTGTATATAGTAGAAGTTGATTGATCCACACCCGAGACAGCTTTTCTTAGAGCCTAGTCTCATTTTGACTGCTTGTGTTGTGATTATTGCAAACATGATGCCTTGTATAAAGGTGTCAGTTTTTGTACTATATTTTGCCACTGGTAAAGGAGGTCTCATAAGGCCATATATATAACACACTATATGACAACCAATTGTAGACATCCCCACAAAGCGGTACTCGCTTTATCGACCCCCCCCACTCCCCCCCGGACCGATGATGGACCGAGTCATCCAGCAAACCCACGATTTTAACTCCGCAGCCTTAAGATCAGTTTCCAGTTTCATTAATTAGGTACGGCCCTGTGAGCCATTGGGCTCTTGAATCGGGTTCAACCGCAACAAACAAAAAAACAAGAAAACATCTTAAAGTGACCACGCAAACAGAAAAATCCATGAAAAACCAGCCTCAGGTTTGACAATCTCCACTGTTGTGGCCGTGCACTGATATCTTCACTGCAAGGCCCTTGGTGGGCCCCCTGGCAATGCACACAATGGTGAAGCCACCACACCACTTCTAGATTTGAAGCTTTCGTGACTGCAAGGATTCATATTCTTAGGTTTTTTCGGTAAAGCCACGTAGGTAAAAAATTAAAATTAATAAAAGTAAAATAAAATAAAAATCACGACGTTTCCACCACACCACCACCACCCATCATCATCATGATCGTGTTGCTGTTGATGTCAAATCCCCCAATGTGTTCGTCCTCTCGTCTGACACTGGTGGTGAGACTTTGGGCCATCAACAAGGCTGCCATCTCTGGTGGAATATTTGTTTTGCTGTTTTTTCCTGGATTTTTCTGTTTGCGCATAGTCACTTTAAGATGTTTTCTTGTTCATGTTTTAGTTTTTTGTTTGTTGCGGTTGCAGCCGATTCAAGAGCCGAATGGCTCACAGGGCTATACCTAATACGGTAAAACCTTGGATTGCGAGCATAATTCGTTCCGGAAACGCGCTCGTAATCCAAAGCACTCGTATATCAAAGCGAATTTCCCCATAGGAAATAATGGAAACTCAGATGATTCGTTCCACAACCCAAAAATACTGTATTCATATAAAAATGATAAATACAAAGTACCTCTTTATATTTTTATTATTTAAATTTAACATTAAGTAATCAAATAAATTAATTGAATGCAATCGTGGCTGGTGTGAGGGAGACGAGAGAGAGGAGAGGAGGGTTGTTGTGTAGGACGACTTTCACTTGCAGTACAGTTACTAAAGAACAGTCACTACACTTGGACACAAAATAAAAAAATGCTTTACCCACACACACACGTGGTCACAACACTAGAGTAAGCAGTCTACGCTCGCACGGATGTTGACTATACGAGTGAGGCACGCCGACTGAGACCGAGCATGGGAGACGATTACCCACAATCCCGTAGCGAGAGAGAGAAGAACCATCGGCTCAGTTAACAAAGCGTATACTCCATTGGAACCTCATTTTGCAGTAAAAATATGAAAACAATTTTTTTACCCTGCGCCTTTTGGCGTGATCTGGTCCAACCCATGTGAGACTAGGCTCTAAGGAAAGCTGTCTCGGGTGTGGACCAATCAACTTCAAGGACAGTGCACATTATCAGAGTTGTGTTTTTTGTTTGCATTATGACTGCAGGTATTGTGGTCTATGCAAACATGACTCCTTGTAAAAAGGTGTCAGTTTTGTTGCCAGATAGAAGGGTAAAAAAACCAATTATCAAAGCGTATACTGTACTACTCGTTTATGAAATTAAAATTTATAACATAAATTTGCTCGGCTTGCAAAACACTCGCAGACCAAGTTACTCGCAATCCAAGGTTTTGCTGTAAATGAAAACTGAACTGACACAGTTGTGATTGCCCTAGGCCGCCAGAAATACACGTATGGGTTTGGTCTGCAACGCTACATTGGGAGAGGTGGCAACCCTCGTCGTGTGTTCAATGGGGTCGTGTAAAAAATACACATGCTTCGATTTTAATTTTTGGAGAGACATATGCACGGGCGTTATTTAATGTGGCATTCACAATGACGCTTAAGGATCATTTGGCGAGAGTAAAAATTAACCCGTAAAAAAAAAGTTTTTCACTATAAATCCTTTATATGCGTGGTGGCTAGAGTCCTCTCGTCCTCTGGCTTGAGATGGCTGCCACCTATGAGTCAGATGATTGCCTGCCACCATTAAGCAATTGGTAATGAAATCAAATTTTTTTTTTCCTAGAAAGTGTAAAATTTTGGAAAAAAATTTTTCACGAAAATAAATTGTCACGCACAACGAGTCTGTGTGCAAAATGTCAGCTCGATTGGATCACGGGAAGTGGGTTAAAAAACGACCGAAAGATTTGCACGGTCGTAAGCGCGCAAGCAAGCAAGTGAACTTAATATAAAGGATTTAAAAAAGACATGTAGGGGTATCGATGTTGACGATGTCTGTTTGAATGTTGAATGTCTTTTCGCGCCGTACGTAGCCGACCGTGCTTAGCGGAGGTGCGGGGGGACTGGTGTCTCCATGAAGCCCCCCAGTGATGTGACACGCTGATGTTGCTCCCCTTGTCGGCAGGTGTACGATGAGAAGGATTATCGTCGCGTGCGCTTCGTGGGGCGACAGAAGGAGGTGAGCTGAAGCCCCCCCCCCCCCCCCACGCTAGCTTGAAACGATAACCCAACCTGGTCGTAATAATAATAATAAACATCCATAATAGAGGTGTTATGGGTTAGATCGCGTAAATATATAAATGTGTCGTGTCGTTAAAACTCGCCACCACCCGACACGGCCAACTAGTAAGGGTTGTCACGTAAAACAGAACGTGGCCAATTCGTCACTAGTACAGCACTAGTGTATACTGTAGTAGTGTAGTGTATAGTAGTGTAGTGTATAGTAGTGTGTAGTGTATAGTAGTGTAGTGTGTAGTGTATAGTAGTGTAGTGTGTAGTGTATAATAGTGGAGTGTATAGTGTAGTGTATAGTAGTGGAGTGTATAGTGTAGTGTATAGTAGTGTAGTGTATAGTATAGTGTAGTGTATTGTGTAGTGTATAGTGTAGTGTACTAGTACAGCACACCGGTGTGTTGGAGAGCCAAGCCACAACATTTATCAAGTGAGTACGCGTTAAACCAAAATAAAAAAAAAATCACAATTGTGTAATCATATTCTTGGTTCTTTCGGTAGTCACGTAGAAAGGAAATAATAAAATAATACAAATGTAAAACAATACAATTTTATTATTTCCCTTCTACGTGACTTTACCGAAAGAACCAAGAATATGAATCCCTGCAGTCACGAAAGCTTTAAATCAAAAATTGTGTAATCTTTCACTCGCAGAGGTAGAGAATGATTCACGGTTGTGGGAAACCACAGAGAAGCCGGAAAGGCAGCCAGGACCGGCGCCAGCAATTTCCCAAGCTCTGTGGTCCTATATTTGGATGTTTGGTCAACTGCGTTCACGAGCGTTTGGGAAACAGCGGTGCCCATGGACGCCCCACGAATGTTAAGGTGGTGAGTTCCAATCAATCCCCCAACAGATGAAAATAAAATTTTGATTTAAAGCTTTCGTGACTGCAGGGATTTATATTCTTGGTTCTTTCGGTAAAGTCACGTAGAAGGGAAACAATAAAATGATAATATACATTTTTTGTTTCATATTTATATTATTTTATTATTTCCCTTCTGCGTGACTTTGCCGAAAGAACCAAGAATATAGATGAAAATTAATCCACTCGCCGTACCGCCATCATATCCCGGCAAGCCAGGAGATGGCGACCTCGACTCCTATGGCGAGGGAGTTTGACGAGTCTTCTTGGTTCTTTTGGTAAAGTCACGTAGAAGGAAAATAATAAAAAATTAAACATAATAAAATAATTCTCACGACGTTTCGGTCTGCCTTCTCGACAGACCTGTTCTCCACCTGAAGACGGCTGCTTGCGTTGTGGCCGAAACGTTGTGAGAATTATTTTATGTTTTTTTAATTTTAATTTTATTTTATTATTTTCCTTCTACGTGACTTTACCGAAAGAACCAAGAAGATGAATCCCTGCAGTCACGAAAGCTTTGAATCGAGTTTAACGAGCTTGTGTGATCCGCCAACCACGATTCATCTCCACTGCCGCGTTGGCCCACTGAGTGACGTGGCCGGATGTGGCCAACGAGTTGACTGACGGTGACTGCGGGTGACGTGGGCGATCCGGACAAGGCTGAGAATCACCAACAGAATTTTGAATGAAAGCTCATGGGATTTGGTGGATTCCCACAAGCAACACGTGCAGCACACAGCAATGTACAACAGGGGGCGGATAGGCGAAGAGGACAACGTTGTTTTTTCAGAATTAAGCGATTTTGATTTCACCAGGTAATGCCCACTGGTGTCTATGTAGCTGCCTCGAGCGGAGGGCAGTCCTCCAGCAGTGGCAAGAGAGCGAGTAGTTTCAGGGTTGCGCCTTTACACGTCGGTCAAGTGTTACCCCAGTTAAGCGTAATCCGGGCGAGTTGTAACATGTTAAGTGTTACCCCTGTTAAGAGTAATCCTGGCGAGTTGTAACATGTTAAGTGTTACCCCTGTTAAGCGTAATCCTGGCGAGTTGTAACATGTTAAGTGTTACTTCTGTTAAGCGTAATCCTGGCGAGTTGTAACATGTTAAGTGTTACCCCTGTTAAGCGTAATCCTGGCGAGTTGTAACATGTTAAGTGTTACCCCTGTTAAGAGTAATCCTGGCGAGTTGTAACATGCTAAGTGTTACTTCTGTTAAGCGTAATCCTGGCGAGTTGTAACGTGTTAAGTGTTACCCCTGTTAAGAGTAATCCTGGCGAGTTGTAACATGCTAAGTGTTACTTCTGTTAAGCGTAATCCTGGCGAGTTGTAACGTGTTAAGTGTTACCCCTGTTAAGCGTAATGCTGGCGAGTTGTAACATGCTAAGTGTTATCCCTGTTAAGCGTAATCCTGGCAAGTTGTAACGTGTTAAGTGTTACCCCTGTTAAGCGTAATCCTGGCGAGTTACAGTAGTTACCCCTGTTAAGCGTAATCCTGGCGAGTTGTAA